CCTGATTTATCTCACTGGCCTGGAAACTATTAATTTTTAAGCAAAACTATATAGCACTGTGTTTTCTTGATTTCTGTGTATTTCTAATTGAAGTAATACTTCTTAAAAATTTCTTTTTGGCCACACCAGGTGCTACTTAAGGGTTGTTCCTCGTATATTCCTCACGGGGGCTGCTACTTGAGGTGTTTGTGGGACCATGAAGTATTAGGGAGTGCATTTGGGATTCTTGCTTACAAAACATTTGCTCAGCCCGTCAAGCTGTCTCTCGAGCCTCATAATTAAAGTTATATTTTGTGTGTGTGTGCGCGTGCACACGTGCACATTTGCTTTTTTTTTTTTTTTAATCGGTTGTTTTGGGGCCAAACCGGTCGGGGTTACTTCTGGCTCTGTTCTTAGGAAACAGAACTGGTGGGCTCAGGAGACCATATGGGACACAGGTTGGTCAGGTCCAAGGCAAGAGCCCTACTCACTGCGCTGTATATCTCTCCAGTTCCTGAAGTTATGCTTTGTTACTTTCTTTTTTTTAAACCTCCCCCCCCCCCCTTTTTTTTGGTTTGTTTTTGGGTCACACCCTGTAGTGCTTAGATCTATCTCCTGGCTCTGTGCAGGGATCACTCCTGGCAGCCTCCATGGAGTGTTCAGGGATCAAACCTGGGTTGGCTGCAGGCAAGGCAAATGCCCTACCCACTGTACTATTGTTCCAGTCAGTTATGCTTTCATGTTATTGTTTTTTAGGCTCACAGAAAGAAAAATGAATAGAGCAAAACCTAATATTGCTATTAAGTGGTTTTCTTTTTTTTTTTTTTAATATATATAAAATAAAACGGGGCTGGAACTCTTAAGTGTTTTTCTGTTGCTATTTTGAAAAAAATGGTGGTGAGAGTAGTGATCACTGATTGCAGAGCCCCGAATAAGCCTCTGAGGTGTGGTCCAAACACACACACAGACACACACACACACACTGCAGCACTGTACTCCCCTTGTTCATCGATTTGCTCAAGCATGTACCAGTAAAGTCTCACAACAAATTGTGAGCGTTGTTGTTACTGTGTCTGGCATATCGAATACGTCATGGGGAGCTTGCCAGGCTCTGGCGTGCGGGCGAGATCCTCTCGGTAGCTTGCCGGGCTCTCCGAGAGGGGCAGAGGACTCGAACTCAGGTCGGCCATGTTGGCTGCGTGCAAGGCAAACGCCCTACCACTGTGCTATAGCTCCAGCCCACACACACACACACACACACACACACAAGGAAAGAAAATTTCTAACTTGGATAATTGCTTAAGAGGGATTAAAATGGAACATTTATTTGAGTTCCTGATCTTTTCCCCGTGTTTTAGTGTAGTGTTTCTCAAAGCTCGTAGCACTCCCTTATAGGGGACATTGAAGCAGTGCAGAGGAGGAATGATAGCAGCTTCATCTGCAGTTGGGGGACACTTTCTGTTCGTTTACTTGGAGAAGGTGGACTTTTTAGGTTTGGCGGGGGTGGCATGGGGCTCTGAATGTTGGTTGCTTTTTTTTACTGAAAAGGAGGCCAAACTAATTTGGAAACTTTTTGGTTTTGGGTTTGTTTTGGGTCACACACCTAGAGATTTAGTGCTTGGTGATCACTCCTGGCAGTGCTTGGGAGATTCAGCCCAGCTCTTGTATGTATGCAAAGCTGATGTTCTAGCCATTTGAGCTATATCCTATCCTGGGGACTTTTGTTTGAAAGTCAGATTACAAATGGAAAGGGACAGTTTTTTGGAAGCAAAATAGAATTTTATTTTAATGACTTTGGTTTCACCCTGATATTTTTCTTTTGTTTCTTTTATTTAAATTGTTTTATTTTTTTTCAAATTTTGAGCTACATCATTTGTGCTTGGGAGCTCTATTCCTGGCTCTGCTCCGAGATAGCTCCTGAAAGTGCTCAGGAGGGGCATGTAATATGGGGAATTGAATCTGGTTTTCTGCTTGCAAAGCATGTGTTCTGTCCCTTACACCATCTTTCTTGCCTTGGAAATGTTTCTTTTATCCAAATCTGGATAAAAGAACCTTTGGTACAGTCTTCGGGGGATTTATGTGTTATGTTTTGTTCTTTGTATTGAGAGTGAGTGAAGAGAATTTTATGTTTAAGATGTATGCAGGTGGTGAATTCTATAAAGGTTAGTCTCTTGGTAATAGAAGTAGTATTTGAAAAATTAAAACAGTTAAAGTAGGTTTGTCTCTTTGTCACTACTATGGTTATGTTCTTTTAAATCTGAGATGATTTCAGAATATTATGCTGGTGATTTGTGGGGCTAATGTTTTTTTTCTTCATTAACTGGTGCCAGATTCTTACAATCAGTTCTGTTTCTCAAGCTTAATTTTTTTTTCTCTGTTGAGGTATGAGGGAATGGTTACCATTGTTTCTTCATTGAGTTTGACAGATAGTTGTAGGGGAGGGTTTGAAAGTTAAATAAAAGGATCCATGATAAAATCTTTATAACTCAAAAGAACAAAACATTTTAGGCTAATTAATAGTAATGGGTGTGTCACAAATATTTTACATGTGTATATATGTGAAACTGATAGTAAACATTTAATATCAGCTGTATTTGACATTGAGTATTTTTTATGTCATATAATAGAATAAAAGTATACATTTCTATCCAGCGGTACATAAAAGAGGTTGGTGTTACCGTAGAGTTTAATAGATGAGAGAGAGAGAGAGAGAGAGAGAGAGAGAGAGTGTATTTTGTTGGAGGGTGACACCCACATGCTTGGGGTCCTCTTCCTGTTGTGCTCAGAAAATCATGTGATATACCAGGGATGAAACCCAACGCTGCCATTTGCAAATCATGTGCCTCCTTAACCATCTCCCTGATCCTGGATGAGACATTGTTTAAAATAACTTGTATTCGTACTCACAGCAGTATCAATCTAAGGGTGTGGGGAAAGTCCCACTTTGTAGTTAAGAAAATAATGGGGTTGGGGGAAAGAAAATTCTGGAATCTAGGATGTGACTAGGTGGTATAGTGCATGTCTTGCATGCGAGGTACTTGGGTTCCATCCTCATCACCACACACAAAAAAGAATGAATGAAAATTCTAGGGACAGAGAGGTAGTATAGTGGGAAGGGCACTTGCTTTGTATTTGGCCAATCCGGGTTTGATCCATGCTACCCATTTGGTCCCTTGAGCACCTTCAGAAGTCATGCCTAAGTGCAGAGCCAGAGCACAGCCGATTGTAGCCCCCCAATTTTATATATGTATGTATGTATGTATGTATGTATGTATGTATGTATAATATAAAACTTTTAGGAAAAAAGCGTTTCTATTTTGGACAGTGAAAAGATGTTAGCCATTTCTGTCATCTCATGTACCAAAAAGAATGGCCAAACATTAGGGACTGTATGATTGTATGACAAATTGTGGGGTGTCCTATTGCTGAGATGTCTTTTCCAGAGTGTAAGAGGCTTTATGGCTCTCTTCTCAGGTATAAGGTGCAGAAAGCCTTCTCCCTACCTAATCAGCACCCAGCATGAGAAACTGCCTCCTGACAGTGGAGGTGGATCGAGGTGATGGTCACTAGGAGATGGTCTGTGTCATAGTAGTCACTTAGCCTTCTCTCCTGCCTTGTGTTTCAGGAGGATGGCAGAATCTTCTGCTAAGACTCAGATTAGCAGAAATGAAAGTTGTGCCTGTGTGACCTCTCTAGTTACATAAAGTCACCAGAGGGATATAGAAAAACTGTTTTCTATTAAAATTAATGGAAGTAATATAAGCACTCATCATTAAAATTAATATCTTAGAGTAATAGAAAAAATTTTGATTTGTTTTTCCATTGGAATATAATTTGTGTGATTACATTTCTAACTGGTTTCTAATTTCTTGCCTTATTAAAAAGAGTGTAATTGGACCAAATGATATATTTCAAATTAAAACTATACTTGGGGGCTTGGGGGGTAACTCCAGTGACATAGTACAAGGGCTGAGGTACTTGCCTTGTTTGCAACTCACCCTACTTCAGTCCCTGGTACTGCTTTGAGTGAGCCTTGAGCACAGTGCCAAGAGTAGTCCCTGAATGCTACTGATCTGAATCTGGCCCCAGAGCCAAAACCAGCAAGAATAGAAACAAAACCACTCTTCGGAAGACTGGGAAGAAAGCTTAAAGGACTGGAGTGCAAGCTTCACTTGTGTGTGGACCACATTAGATCTCAGTACTGCTTGATCTCTTGAGCGTTGAACTGGTATAGCTGCTGAGCACCACACAAGACAAACTGAAGATTCTGAAGTATAGAAATAATAAATAGTCAGATGCACGTGCATGTACTACTTATGTAATATGAATAGTCATGTAGGCCATGATTGTTCTTGGAATTTCTTTGAAAAAAGCTGTAGAGTACCATTAGAAGTTCTCTCAGCCTGGGAAGTAGATGCTAACTGCAGTGCTGAATGAGCCCAGCTTCTTTTAATTAATTAATTAATTAATTAATTTTAAAACAATGTAGGAGTACTGCCATTTGTTCAGCCATTGATTAAGCCGATTGAATTGTGAGCCTGGTTTCTAGGTTTCTAAGGAATAGTTGGTGTCAGAAAAGCTGCCTGGCAAATGATATTTTTTGTATGTTCGTGGCTTTCAGTGCCCTGAAACCTTAGGGGTAGAACTAACAGGAGATAGAAATTGACCTCTTTGTATTTCTGAGTAATGTTTGTTTGAGGTACTTTAGTGACAGCCTGCAAATCTTTGTTTCACAAACTGAGTATTACAGCTCATTAGCAGAAGAAAAAAGGACAAAAAGGGGAGATATCAGACTGCATTGCAGGCATTACACTACATATTGTTATAAAAAGCTAGGATTTTAAGTGTACTTACTACTGTGCATTGTGACGAAAAATGTTTCAAATGTTGCTATAAATGGCTCTTAGCTATTTCAACTTTCATTGAAAATGTATGCTCATTTTTAAAGCCAGAATGTTTTGCTATGTAGGTCTAATTAGTGAAATCTATATCATGAAAAATTTATTGGTATTTCTTTGCAGTTAGCTTCTGAAATTTATAATTTTGCCCGCTCTCTGTGGAATCACCATACAGACACATTCCTTCAACATGTATCTTCTGGCAATGAAGCTGCAGTTCTGAGTTCACTAGAACGAACTCTACTATCATTGAAAGGTACTATTAAACTTGATATATTCATTTTCGACAACATACCTCAGAAGAGTCCCCAAATGCTTTTTTGTGAGAATAGCTTTTCCTCACTATGTGTAATGTATGAAAGCGCACCGTAGTTCCAGGTTTTTAGTTACATTCCCATTACTGGGTCTCAGGACTCTGAACACATTCCTTTCAACTACTTCCACTGTTTTTTTTTTTCACTTCTACTTTACGTTTCTGTTCTGAGACTCCCTCTTATCTCGATTATGCTGTTTGACGGTTGGCTCCCTAAGGTTTAGTTGAATGCTGTTTTCTCTTTTTTTCAGAGAATTGAAACTTCTGTCTTTCTTGTTTACCCTAAGACTCTGGAAAATTTCCGAAGGAGCTCGATGGGGTGCCATCTTGGCCTGTGCTTTCCTGTGATTTGTTTGTAGGCATTTCATTTCACTCTCCTGGACCTGAGTTACTTTCTTTCATAAATGAATCCTGAGAATTCCTCTTACTCTTTTTTTCCTCCTAGTTTCTCTCCCTTTCTTCTGATTGCTAATTTCAGTTTGTTTCTTGGTTTGATCTAAAACCACATTTCTTTCTCTTTCATTATAACTTATTTTCCATCCTTCTAATTCATTTATAAACCTATTTTAGGAAATCATACTCACCCAGTACTTTAGGGTGCCATCATATGCTCTTGGCTGTGCTCTCGTTTGTCATTTATATTTTATCCAGGCAGCGAATGCATAAACTTCTGACTGCCAAGCACATTTTGGTTGATTATGTGGAACAGTATTTGAATGATTATAAAAAACTGTTGTTGAATAAAATTCCGTACGGAGATAGTCTTGTTAATATCCCTGAGTGAGAAAGTGATAAGTTTTAGAAATATTGATTCAGATGGAATTAAGAGAACTGAGAAGAGATTATATATGAGAAACCTTGTGTACTTGATTTAATGATTAGGAAATTTTTTCTGAGTTTATTTGGCTGATTTTGAAGCCTGACTTTTGATGAAATGACTAAGTTTTCTATTACCTTGTTTGTAAGTTTTGAGGTACCTCCTTATCCCAAGGTCTTAGAAATTTCGCATTTTTAAGGCACACAAGCCAGGAAGTCTTCCCAAGGCATTTTCCTTTAAGGTACTTATTCTGGGACCAGAGAAAGCGAGAGAGAGAGCACAGCGGTTAAGGTGCTTGCCTTGCGCTCAGCAGACCTCATTGCAGATTCCGGCACTTCATGTGGTTCCCCAAACACCGCTAAATGTGACTCCGAGCATAGAGTCAGAAATAGTCTGAGCACCACCAGCTGTGTCCTCAAAACAGAAACATACAAAAAAATTGTTTTCTGTTACCATAAATGTTTGTCTGGCTATACTTTAAGAAGTACTTTGGGTTGAATTTTGTTTATATGTAACATCTGAATTTTTACCTGTGTGCATTTAGTACCTTTCAGACATTGATAAATACATTATTTCCTTCAGTAGACTTGTAAGTAGGAACGTTGCACTGGGGAGACAGTTTGTTACAGGGACCTTAACAGTGTTATTAAAGCAACAATATAGTTAAGAAAAACTAGGCCTTGAAAGTAGTGTTCGAGTCAGAACCCAGAGCACGGTACAAGTTAACTAGATAATGAAGAGAAAGGACAGAGCCTCTTAGGTAGAGTAGCGGAAGTTCCTATGGTTGGAGAGTACACATAGCAAGGCCCTTGATCTGGACCCAAGTTTCCTCTGTTATAGTATCATTGGGCTGGAGCCATAGCACAGCGGGTAGGGCGTTTGCCTTGCACGTGGCCGGCCTGGCTGACTCAGGTTCAATTCCTCCGCCCCTCTTGGAGAGCCTGGCAAACTACCAAGAGTATCTCGCCCGCCCGTACATATTCAATATGCCAAATACAGTAACAAGTCTCACAGTGTTACTTGACCCACTCGAGCAAATCGATGAACAGCGGGAGGACAGTGACTGACAGTTTTCTAAAGTACTGAAGATACTTATATTTTCAATCTCTTAATGCTGGTCATCCTGTTATTAATGAATTGTATTGATTTACATGTGTTATAGTACTGAATTCTTCATTAACTCTATGAAGCGAAACTTAACCTAATCACATGTTGCAGGTGAGGAAAGTGGGATTTGGAAAAGTATCCTAAAATAATGTAGATAATAAGAGTCAAATTTAGGTTTGACTTTATATCTGTTATTCTGTTTGTCCCTGGATATATATTAGTTTATTCATAGTATGCAATGCTTATCATGAGTTACTGCAGTCAACTTCAGATTTTATAATGGAAGTTAATTTTATGTCCCTTTTAGGGGACTTTAATAAATAATAGCCTAAACCAGATTGAAGCTTTTATGACTCTTGAGTCATAGTGTAAAGTTTATGAAATAGATAAAGCTTTCTCAGTTCATCTAAGTGAGTTACTTCAGGTAAGAAGTATTTAGCAAATAAAAAGTGAAGTAGAGGGGCTGGAGCAATAGCACAGCGGGTAGGACGTTTGCCTTGCATGCCGCCGACCCAGGTTCGATTCCCAGCATCCCATATGGTCCCCTGAGCATTGCCAGGGGTAATTCCTGAGTGCAGAGCCAGGAGTAACCCTTGTGCATCGCCGAGTGTGACCCAAAAAGCAAAAAAAAAAAGTGAAGTACAATTTTAGAAACATATGTAGTTGATAAGTGAGAATACTTGTAACTTGAATTATAAGAACTTGCTGTAATTCAGGTTTTCCATTTAGTAACCATCTAATGATCAGAAATTACATTTTATTTTAATTTTTAAATTTTATTTAAGCCCCATGATTTGCAGTGGTTGCATTTAAAAAAATACTTTCAAAATGACAGGGCTAAAGGATATTAACTGTAAACCTTGAGAAGGCTTTGTGATTCTGTGTTTTAAAGATTATGAATTTAATGGGATGAAATATTAAAAAAATTAGATGCAAATAATGCTTGATTTTTACCTTGCAGTGCTACGTAAGTTAACTGTTAATGGATTTATGGAACCTCATAAAAATATGGAAGTAATGGTAAGTTGAAAGTGATTTATTCTTTCTGATTTTGGGAAACTGCTTGGTATTTATTTTCTTGGATGTTTTAAAGCTTATTTTTTATATTTGGAATTCATTTAAAAGTTTTTAGTAAGTTCTCTCTTTTTTTTTAAACCATTATATATGTTTACTATGCATAAATGTATATTTTCCCTCCCTCATTTGTTACATCAAAGCAACTTATTGTGTGGAGAGAAAGCAGACTTAGGATAGTTCTCAAGAAGCCTTGTACACTGTGGATCTGGAAAGAAAGCTCAGGGGGCCGAACACTGCCCACAGTGTTGTTTTGCATGCACAAGGCCTGGGTTTCATCCCTGGTACCAAGTGGTCACCTGAGTGCTATCAGTGTGACTGCTAGCACAGTGCCAGGAGCAGCCCTCTTTTACTTCCAGGTCTAGAGCAAAACAAAGAAGAAGCTTTTTTTTTTTGCTTTTTGCTTTTTGGGTCACACCCTGCGATGCTCAGGGGTTATTCCTGGCTCTTGCACTCAAGAATTGCTCCTGGCGGTGCTCAGGGGACCATATGGGGTGCGGGGAATTGAACCTGTGTCAGTCATGTTGGCTGCGTGCAAGGCAAATGCCCTACCCGCTGTGCTATCGCTCCAGCCCCAGATAAGCAGCTTTTGATCTGAATTTGAAATACTATAAATTGGAATGCTATTGCAATATTACCATATATATTATAGATATTTATCTCTTTGATATTTTCTTTTGCTTTTATATGTTTCTTTATTTTGGGTCTGACCTGATGATACTTTGCCTGGTGCTACTCAAAACTATTATGCTTTGTACCAGTGAAATATTTTGTTTTGTTTTGAGGGACCTCACTTAGTAGTGCTCAGGGCTTACTCTTGGCTCTGTACTCAGAGCTTCACGCCTGGCAGGGTTTGGGGGACCATATTTGATGCTGAGGATAAACCTTATTGGTAAAACCAATGGGTTGTGATATTTATTGATCTGTATAATGCCATGAACATTTTTTTAAACTATACATATATATATTCTATATATATATATATATAGTTGCTGTTTGTTTTTTATTTGTTTTTTTTTTTGAGAATTGAGTCTTTTAATCATGAATACAGAGAACAAAGTTTTAATGTAAGCCTTATCACCGTCACTGTCCTCCCATTGTTCATCGATTTGCTTGAGCGAGCCTAGTAATGTCTTCATGGTGACAATGGTTACTGTGTTTGGCATATCAAATACGTCATGGGTAGTTTGCCAGGCTTTGCCATGCTGTTTGTTTTTGTACCATGTTCATTGATGCTCAGGGCTTGCTCCTGGCTCTGTGCTCAGGGATCATGAAGCCTGTCAGGACTCGGGGGACTGTATGTGGTACTGGGGATCAAACCTTATTAATAAAACCAACCAGTTATGATATTTGCTCAGTATTGTACCATATACATTTTTTATGTATAGCCCCCAAAGCTGCACTGTGTGTGGCTACAACAACGAAAGCTATTGATTGAAATAATGCTCTTATTAAATTATTTGAAAACCACTAACATTATCAATGTGTCATCACTTCCATTCTAATTGGTACACTTATTTTTAAAAATTGAACACAGGGATGGGGGCTATAGTGATAGGACAGAGTATAATGCACTTGACCAACCAGGATTTGATCCCTGATACCACATGGACCCTTTGTCCCCACCAGGAATAAATCTGTGAGCATAGAGCCAGGAGTGAACCCTGAGCACTGATGTGTGTGGGCCTCCCCCCACCCCAAAATAGGAAAAAGAAACAGGATAACAATTAAACACAGAAAACTGAAGTATAGAATTATTTGAAAACTCATTAAAGATATTGCTAAAATTTATACTTTTAAGAAATTTTTGGCATATATTTTCATGTTTACTTTCAATTTTATATAAATGATACCTGTATGCCGTTTCCTTGTTTTTCTTTAAATTCAGTATATTGAATATTTTTTCATATCAATAAAATGCTTTATGCTAACTTCTAGTGATTTTTGTATTCCATGTGATTAATAGTGCTAGACTAATAAAAGTGACAGTTAATAAAGGATTACTTTATGAAGATGAGAACCAATTATACCATAGTTTTAGTTTGTCTATTAACAGAATTTATTGAACATGTTAATTATTATATTTGTTTTCTAATCTTTAGATGAACATGTGCTTTTATTTCTTTTTGTGTAGTGGGGGATTGGGATTTGGGCCACAGCTGGCTGTGCTGAGGGCTTACTCCTCACTTTGTGCTCAGGAATCACTCTTGGCATCGCTTATTGGACCATATGTGGTGCCAGAGATCAAACCCAGGTTGGCTGTGTGCATGGCAAAACACCTTACCCACTGTACTTTCTTTCTGGTTCCTGTTTTCAGTTTTAAACTGATAAATGTTGTTGGAATGTCATATCTTAGTCTTTTCTTATAGTTTCTTTAAGATAACTTTGCATTTCTAGAAATGGAAATACTGGATTTTATGTATTTATATATTGGTATAGATATTATATATTTTTTCATCAGATCGCTAAAAGAATTAACAGAAACCTTGCGGAAAAGATATGAAGCATCCTTAGGAAATTTTTACACTTTATTTATTGGTGCACAGAAGTCTCCTATGCTTAAATTCTTTCATGTGGGTTTGTGTGTCCAGCCTGTTAGTATTTTGGCTCTGTGCTTGGGAGTTGCTCCTGCCACTGCTTGGGAGACCATCTGGTGCTGAGTATATAACCCAGGCTAGCTGTACGTAGGCAGTTTAGCCCCTGTATTATCTTTTAGGCCTCATTGCTTAAACTGAAGGGAAAAAAAAGGCTGGAGGGCTATGACAGTATGTGTGGTGCTTGCCTTGCATATGACTGACCGGGGTTTAATTTCCAGCACCCCGACCTGTCTACTGAGCCCTGTCTGGAGTGATCCCTGAGCACAGAGCCAGGAGTAAGCCTTGCCGGGTGTGCCCGGAAACCAAAAATAACGATAAATTGTATTGAAGTTGTTTTACTACTTCTTTATATTTTTATAAATTTTTATAATGTCTTAAAAATCAGTATTCAAGGAAGGATCCATTGTATATAGAAGGTAATCATTTATGTTTGTCTTTTCTGAAAGCTATTGTGTTTAATCTCTTACTTGAGATTAAGAACCTTTGCTTTACATGATTGGTGTCATAAATTCATATATTGAGTACTTATTGTTCTGCCAAGTATTATTTCTGGATTCTGGAAAACATAGCAATAAAGTAAAAGTTCTGTTTCTTAAGAAACTTACATTGTAGTCGGAGAAGCCATATTTTAAGACAAATTATATATAAGGACTGTGAAGAGAAATTGAACAGTAAGAATACAATGTATAATGAATGATGTTTTAAAGCAATTTTAGTGGTTGAAATAAGACATTAGAGAGATCAAATATAATTATTTTTCTTGTGGAAGACTTAATAGTGGATTTTTTTTTATTTTTAAAAATTTTAACTGGCTTATTAGGTGATAAGTTTTTTTGTATTTTGTAAGAGTAAAAAGAAAAACGTTTATGTCAGCATAAACTGAGACTCCTAAAATTTGTTCTTTTCTAGGGTTTTTTACATGGAATATTTGAACGTTTAAAACAGTTTCTGGAATGCAGTAAGTACTCCCTCCATGCCAGCAGTTTTTATTGGAAAATTCTTCTTATAGTACTCCCCTGCCGCGCACCTGCCAGTCTGGGGAGAGGACAAAAGGTCACACTTCTTAATAAAGTCCCTGCCTTAAGATGGGGTTCAGTTTCATTGTTTCAGAACTCTCTGAAGTACTTAGAATACTCTTTTTGAAAAGTGTATGTCTGCTCTTTTTTTTTGTTTGTTTGAGTTTGGATTGCTGTCTCTGTTCTATGTAGACATTCATAGTAGTCCTCTGTTTTAGCAAATAGGAATTTCCCAAATTGTTGAGACTTCTTGTGAGGACTTACTTCTTTTAAGTTATCTCCATAATATAAACTGCCTCATCTGGTCCTTTCTTGCTCCCTTTATTCCCTCCCTCCCTTCCAACCTCTCTTTCTTCCTTCCTTCCTCTCCTCCTGTGTGGGGTGAGGGCTTGCTCTTCCAGTGGGCGCTCCTGAAACCAGATGGTGCATGGTATTAATTCAGGGTCTTCTGCATGCAGGCAGTGCTTCAACCCCTGTACTCTCTCCCCAGCTCTAAATGAAGCTTTCGTCTGGTAAATCCCGTGTTTCTTATACCTCACTGACTTACCTTTAAATCTTCATAATCCACCATCTCATATGATATCTTTAGGGGCCAGAGTGATAGTATAGCAATGAGATGCTTGCCTTGCAAGACAGCCAAATTTTTTTTAGTAATTTACACTTGTGTTGTATCTGACCAGAGATCAGTTTAGTACTCTCTTCTTTTCCATATATGGGCATGTGCACTTACTTATTTGCCATGTATGTGTTTAGGAAATAAACTGCCCTGAAAATAGGAAGAGTATGTGTGTGTCTGTGTTATGTCACTCAGTTTCAGTTTAGTTAGTAGAGAGGAGAAGGAAGAGGCAGAGAATGAGGGGGGAGTTGGATGAAAGTAGAGAACTCATTTGATAGTTTTCCTAAAAAAATCTCATTTTTCTTTGGCCATCTCCAGGGAAGAAAGGGAGGTTCTTTTAGGGAAGGAAACTAAGATGGTGGATCAGAAGATAAAAGGATTTAAGAACAGATTAGTTCTTTGTATTTCAAATAGACAAAAAATTGGTTATGGCTGGGAAATCATTAGAAAAATTGTTAGAAGACATAAGAAAAAGAATGATTATCTTTGAGTGTTTCCTTTTTGTGTGTGTTGTTTGGAATGTATTTTAACTTTTTTTAATTATTTAGAATTTGGAGGTGATACATGGATAAAAATTTTACTTTAAAATGAGCTCAATTTTAGGATTAATTTTGTGAAATTTGGCACTAAGGATTTCTGTCTTTTAAGTATGAATGTTGGTATTGTGTTTTTAAAACTTTTTTTTGTTTAGAATTGGGAATAGTAATAAATTCATAATGTGATATGTGATATTTTACAAAAAGTTTTGACATTATCATGATTATAAATTTATATAGAAATTGCAAAGTTGTAATATTTAAAATGTGTTTTTAACAGGTAGAAATATAGGTACAGATAACATATGTAGGGATAGACTGGAAAAGACCATCATTCTTTTTACTAAAGTGGTAAGTTTTTTTTGCTCTTAAGTATGTTTATTTCACATGAGATACATTTAACTCATTTAGAAAATTTTACAAGTATGTATTTTCACTTCAGTGTAAAATATGTTATCATTCTATGGGAAAGCTAGCCCTAACGAAATACGTCTTTATCTTGAAGCCTTTGGAATGCTTATAATAATCAGATTTACACACCTTATAGCATAGTAAATAAAATAATCAAGTCCAGTAAATATTGGAGAAGTTAACTTCTGTATAGGCCATTTTTTCCCCCTCAGTTCACTGGAGTTGTGCCACTGCAGAGAGCAGTGCGCTCTGCAAGACAATAGCTCAGATGTAGCAGGCCGTAGAGTATGTAGAAGTCAGTCTATTCAGAAGGATTGATTATCGGCATCAGTATCAAGTACCTTTTTGAATGAAATTAAAAGGTTGTATTGTGCTTTTTGATGGAATTGTAAATAAGATTTTATCTTTTCTCTTTGTATTTATGATTGCAACATTTTTGTGTAATACATCATCTGCAAATAACAATAGTTTTACTTCTCCTTTTCTGATCTGAGTCCCTTTTATTTCTTGGTGTTTAATTGCCTAAGATCTTTAGTGCTAAGGTAAATAGTGAGGAGAGTGAACAGTCTTGTCTACGTTTTGCTTTTATTTTATTTCATTTTATTTTATTTTATTTCTGCTTTTTGGGTCACACCTAGCGATGCTCAGAGATTACTCCTGACTTTGCACTCAGGAATTACTTCTGGTGGTGCTCAGGGGACCATATGGGATGCTGGGAATCAAATCCAGGTCGACCATGGGCAAGGCAAATGCCCTACCAGCTGTGCTATTGCTCCAGCCCTAGGTTTTGCTTTTTTAAATTTTATAATTTTTTTATTTATTGAATCACCGGGAGAACAGTCACAAAGCCTTTCAGTTCAAGTCTCGGTCGGCCATACAATGATCAAACACCTGTCCCTTCACCAGTGCACATTTTCCACCACCAGGAACCCCAGTATACCCACCTCCTGCCTGTGTGTCAGGTTTTCACTTTACTCTCTCTCTGTCTACATTGATCACATTCAATATTATAATAAAAGACTCAGCATTGTTATTTGGAATTTTCCTCAATATTCAGACCTGCCACAAAGACATCATTAGAAAATTTGTTTTCTAATGTTGATTATCTAGAGCATATGATGTCCACAATAGTGGCCATGCGAATTGGGATTTCTGATATTTTAGTAATAAACCTAGAGGGATTACTGCCAGAAACCCCTGGGTTCCGAGATTGGTATGTGTGCCTCGGGGATCATGGTTGTTCAGAAGCCAGAGGATGCATTTGAGGGTGGCAACTCGGAGCATTGTCATGGTGGGGAGCAGGGCCAATTCCACCCCCATCCCATGAAGCCCCACATGCCTCGTCAATGCAGTCTCATACCTGCCTGTTCATTAGGCTCTGAAAGATGCAGGCCACCATGTTGCCGCCGCAAAGAGGGACAGGTGGAGGGACAGATACCCTTCCCCTCCCAGGGCCACATAGCACCATAGTTAAATACACAGTCCAGATGTATTTCGGTTGGGCATTATCTTTTTCTCAGATTTTCCCACCACCATTCAAGCCTGATATTCAGGGACAAATGCTAGATAATTTACTTTCCATTGATCACTTTGCATATCAGAAAATAGTCCTGGTACCCGCATGCCAGACCCATGCTTGTAGAAAGCTCATGGTCACCAGGATTCCATCTGGAGAAGGCAGGGAGATAGCACCTACCCCATCTGGGACCTCCCGGTGATATCAGCTCTGAATGGGGCCTGGAGAATTTTTTGGGAGCTGTGCGGCCCTCCAGCCGGTTTTTTTGTTCGCTGCTGTGTGCTGTAAGATGGCGCTGGGGGCGGGTTGTGGGTGTGACTTCCGGAATCAGAGGTTGCCTGGAGCTGGGGCAGCTCCATTGCAGTTCAGAAAATTGTCCTGGTACTTGCATGCCAGAACCATGCTTGTAGAAGCTCATGGTCACCAGGATTCCATCTGGAGAAGGCGGGGAGACAGTGGTTTTGCTTTTAAAGAAAGAATTTTTTGTTTATTTTTGGGCCACACCCAGCAGTGCTCCAGGCTACTCTTGGTTCTGAGCTGAGAGATGGCACCTGGAGGACTTGGAGCCCCATATGGGGCATGGGGGACTGAACATGGATCGGCCCTGTGCAAGGCAAATGTCCTACTCACTTTACTGTCTACCTGACCTCTCAAATAAGTAGTTTTCATTATTGAGTATAATATTAATAATGATTTCATAATGTGGTCTTTAATAGGTTGAGATGTGTTCTTTTATCTGCACTTCATTTATTATTATTATTTTTTTTAATGTTACTTTTTTTTATTTTTATTTTATTTTTATTTTTTTTATTTATTTATTGAATCACTGTGGGAAAGGTTACAAAGCTTTCAGGTTTATGTCTCAGTCATGCAAATATCAAACACATTTCCCTTTACCAATACTTATTTTTTACCATGAAGAACCCCAATAAAACCCCACCCTCCCCGTCCCTGTGAGGCAGATGAATTCTAGTTAACACTCTATCTGCTTTGATTAGATTCATTGTTTCAATAAAAGATTCAACACTATTATTTAGAGTTTACCCCCCCCCCCCCCCCCAAATCAGACATGCTGAAAAAGCATTGTGAAGTGATTTGCTTTCTACGGCTGGGTTCAAGAATTAAATGTTGGTTTTGGATTTCTGCTCTTTTACCTATTGACCCTGGAAGTATTTCTACTGAAAGTCAGATAGTTAAGAAATTGGTTTCTGTGTTCTGGAGTCCTGGCCGTGCTGGAGAGCCGCTCGCGGGGGGCAACTGGTGGCCTCGGTAGGGCGTGAAGGACGGACCGGAACGCCCCCCTTCCCATGAGGTTTTAGTCGCCCCCACACTCCCGGCTCATACCTGCTGTCCACAAGGCTCCCATGTGGCCGCCATCTTTCTTTCCAGAGAGGAGAGGGCGAATGGGGCAACACCCTTTCCCCTCCGGCAGACTTGATGGCCTGGATCAATGCATAGTCCGTTCACTTTTCTGCTCCAAGCTGCTGGGTTCTGCATTAAGTCCTTGTGCTTCTGGGGCCGTGGCCGTGCTGGAGAGCCGCTCGCGGGGGGCAACTGGTGACCTCGGTAGGGCGTGAAGGACGGACCAGAACGCCCCCCTTCCCATGAGGTTTTAGTCGCCCCCACACCCCCGGCTCATACCTGCTGTCCACAAGGCTATCTGCACTTCATTTAAAGCCTGAACTTTTGTACTCTGAATCTTGATGTCCGATTTACTCACAGTTTTCAAGTTACATAAAGTCTGTTTTGCATCTTGTATGAGAGATAACAGAAAGTTCTTTTTATGAGTTATTATCTGTTATAATTCACATTATGTGAATCATATGTGAGTCCCAAGAAATATTACATGCATTTTGCATGTAAAACTAGGTACATGCACTTTCTCCTAAGTGTGAATTCATTATGTGTTTATTAGCAGAGTTACAATGTAAGATGTGCTTGTGGTTGATTATATTTTGAGATAAATTTGGAGAAAATACATGAAAAATTTTCTCTTATAGCTTTTGGACTTCTTGGATCAGCATCCCTTTTCATTTACTCCGCTAATTCAGAGATCATTGGAATTTTCTGTAAGCTATGTATTTACAGAAGTTGGTGACGGTGTTACATTTGAACGATTCATTGTCCAATGCATGAATCTTATTAAGATGATTGTCAAAAATTATGCTTATAAACCATCAAAAAATTTTGAAGGTAAATGCTTTACTGATAGTTTTAATTCAGTTTTTTTATTTCCTTATTTTAATCTAAGGGTACAGTAACGTATCTTTTGAAATTCATGATATTTAAAAATGAAGAATTACTTCTGGCGCTTGAACTAGGATTAGAATTAGTCTTTACAAGAGGAATGTGAGCTATTAAAGACCATATATGCATAAACAGTCTTTCATGGCATAGTGGAAGATTTGTTGATGTCTGGGGACCTGAAGAATCAAATTTTACACCAATGACTACAGCTCATTTTATATCATATTGTGCAATTAAAATTTTACTCTGATTATGTACATATATGTGCATATATATAATATAGGTTGCTCTGATTATGTACATATGTATGCATATATATAATGTAGGTTTTAGAAGGTTTATTTGCTTATTATATTATTTGGAATTTATTCATATGTATGGATACTGAGATGAATAAAGTCTTGAAGGAGAAAAATAAAATGCGGTACTTGATGGTATGATAATATAGTGTATAATGTTTAGTTATAGTGGTCTTACAGAAGCAAGACTAATGTGTATGTCATATGAATAATAGGAAGAATATCTTTGAGTTCTCTAGAGTAAAAAATAAAATGTATAAAATTTTCATTTACCAAAATTTAAATTTAAATAATCCAACTTGGTTAGAATGTTTAATTTAGAACATTTATTTATTTTTTTATTTATTTTAGATAGTAGTCCGGAAACTCTTGAGGCTCATAAAATTAAGATGGCATTCTTTACATTTCCCACTTTGACTGAGATCTGTAGAAGATTGGTGTCTCATTATTTTCTCTTAACTGAAGAAGAACTGACAATGTGGGAAGAAGACCCAGAAGGCTTTAGTAAGTTTTCAGTTTTCAGTGTTTGCAGTATTATTTCCCATTCCCTAAATATTGCCATCTACTTAATTCATAGGGCTAATATTTTGATAGTGCTGTTTTTGCAGGGGCTAGGGTGGGGAGGGGTTGGTCCTAAATACCTGGTGGTGTTCAGGGGTTCCTCCTGAATTGCAGATTGAATTATCTATATGAAGTTTAAAGTTTATTTCTCAGTGTGTGTGTGTGTGAAGGCCCAATTGATACGGGTCCACTCCCATGTATTTTGTTTTTATTGCCACCATTCAGTGCGAGGGTCTGAAGGTGTGGCACTGCTGGGCCCTTGCCGTGCTGGAGGCCATGTGGTGCTGGAGAGCTAATGGGGTCCTGCGTATGTGTAGCTCGCCTCCCTGAGTACCGTGCTGTTTCCCTGGCCCCTTGATGATGTTTTGTTTGGTTTTGTTTGGTTTGGTTTGGTTTTGGGATAACACCCAGCTCAGCTCAGGGCTCATTCCTAGGTCTGCACTCAGGAGTCACTCCTCTAGGCTCCGGGGGCCTGATGCAGTATTGGGGATCAAACCCAGGTTACCTGAATGCAAGGCAAGCATCTTCACCAGCTGCACTCTCTCTGGTCTCAGATTTTCTTTCATTTCCTGGACTGTGGTAGCACAGTAGCGCTGTAGCACTGTCCTGTTGTTCATTGATTTACGCGAGCGGGCCCAGTAATGTCTCCATTGTGAGACTTGTTGATACTGTGTTTGGCATATCGAATATGTCATGGGTAGCTTGCCAGGCTTTGCCATGGGGGCAAGATACCCTCGGTAGCTTGCCGGGCTCTCCAAGAGGGGAGGAGGAATCAAACCCAGCTCATTATTTGAAACAATTTATGTGGGTTTTGAGATGGCTTAAAAGGCGAGAGCATAAGCTTTGCACGCAGGAGCTCTGGATTAGATCTGTGATACTGTGTTGTCCTCTGAGCCTTGTTGGGAGCAGATGTAGAGCACCACTGACTGGTCCTATATCCAAGAGCAAGCAAGCAAACAAACAAAACATGCACAAAAATATTATTTCAGTGCTATTTAAAATTTAAACTTTTCAAAAATGAAATTTGAAGCACCACTGTTGCATTTCTGGGTAGTATCATTTGTCACATTTTTAATTGCAGCAGTGGAAGAAACTGGAGGAGATTCTTGGAAATATAGCTTGAGGGTAAGTATTATGGGAAATGGAGTTTATGGGGAGTACCTGAATGGGTTTATACTCTTAATAGAAAAAAGATCTGTTAAAAATTTCCAGTGTTAGTAGGAAAATATTTATGGTCTCTGGAATCTAGATTTGAAAGAAGGACATACATTATGATCCTTGGCCTTTATTAAAAGCTAACTGGATTTTTGACTGGATTAACAAACTTTTTGTTTGTTTGTTTTTGCAGTTAATTTGATTGAAAATGATTGTTGTTACACAAATAGAAAATGTTATTGCGAGTGAAAATTACCACTCTTGCTAGAATGATATATATATTTTTTTAATCTCTTGACTATTTTAGTAATATAATTGTTCTTCTGGTGCTGTTTCACCTTTCACAGTGTGATTCTCTGAAATAGAATGTTTTTTGTGTTTATTTTAATATCTCTTGTGTTGCTAGGGACTGAACTCAGGGCCTCACATGCAGGATAAGTGTTCTACCACTGAACTCCATTCGTGAAAGGCTTTTTAAATACTTATATATTGATATTATTGGTATTGAGGACTATTTATTGATATTACTAGTATATGAGGAATGTTAATCAAATATGCTCTGTGAAATTTTTAAAATAGATGTATTTATTTATTTATTTATTTATTATTTTGGTTCTCTTGACAGTGCTTAGGGCTCACTCCTGGTTCTGCACTCAGGGATCACTTCTGGCAAGGCTCAGGGAACCTTATAGGGACTAGGGATCAGACCCAGGTTGGCTGCTTGCAGGACAAGTTGCCTACCCACTATAATATTGCTTTCACCCTCTCAAAGAAAATTTTAAGCATTTTATAAAGTAGAGTAAGTGATAAAATAACCTTAGTTCCCGAAAGTTATTTTATTACTTATTAATTCATAGGTAGTTTTATGTAATGGGTCACTAATCCCACTTTGGGTTATTTTGCTGTAAATATCTAAATGTTTCTCAAATGGTATACTATTTCATCATATTTCAGTATATCTATGTACAATACTACATTTGAATGAAAAGACTTTAAAGTTTTAGTTATGATTTTTTTATATAATGAAACTGATTCAGCACTTTATGGAACCAAAATTAGTCATTATTTTTATCTTGCTGACACTGTTTTCTGTTTGTGTGTGTGTATCATTTGCTTTTTATGTTTTGTTTTGGGACCACACTTGGAGGTACTCAGGTTATTCCTGGATGTGTGCTCAGGAATTCCTTCTGGCAGATTCTGGGGACCGTATGTGATGCCAGGGATTGAACCCTGGTTGGCCGCAAGCAAGGCAAAAGCGTGTATTTTACTGTCTGTAATGTACTATTGTTTCAGCCCCTATATTTGTGTATATTAAAAGAAACACTATAGTTGTGTTCTCTAACATTTGTAGCCCTAAAATATAAACATGTACATTCTTGTAAACTAATATTTGCCTCAGAAATTTTTTAAAAATTATGTCAGTGAAATGTGAACTCAACATATAAATTGCTAGTGCTAATATGTCTGTCATTGCTAAGGAAGTATATTTTAATGGATTCAATGATGAAAATGTTTTTTCTTAGAGTTTTGTCAAAATGATTGGAATCGTAAAATAAGCTTTGTTTTGAATTATTATAATTTGATTTCCCAGTATGTTTTTTAAAAATAGCTATATATAATGGATCAGAAAGATAGTAGAGCAGGTAGGATGCTTGCCTGTGGTCGACCTATGTTCAGTCCCTGACACTCCATATGGTCCCCAGAGCCCATCACAAGTGATATTTCTATCTCACAGATCCAGGAGAATGTGCTGAACATGCTACATGTGGCTCAAAAACCAAAAGAAAAAAAATTTCTTTTAAATATTCTAAGAAATTGAAATCTTAAAAGAAATTGAAAACTTTTTAAGAAATTGAAAATTATTTTAGAATATTAAGACTGCATGTTCTTTGCTTTGTTATAAAATTAATTAGTATACTGTTGTTTTTATTTGAAATTTGTGTTTTTTCTTATTTAGCCTTGCACTGAAGTACTATTTATAGATATATTCCATGAATATAATCAAACTCTTACTCCTGTACTTCTTGAAATGATGCAAACACTTCAAGGTGAAGTATATTTTGTGTTATTTTGACTTACCTAGTTTTTTAATTTAACTATTTTATGTGCCTATTTTGTATAATGCATTATTTCTTAAATTACATAATGGAAAGGAGCCTGAGAAACACAGAATGCGTTTTTTTCTGTAATGGAGACAGTTGCGATAGAAAACAAGAATAGGACATTCCCAAAAGAAGACTTTGAAATAGATTTTAAATGTGATTTTGCTGTGATAAACTACTATCAGTGGAAGCAAAGTAGTAGGCAGTTAAATAGATTGCTCGGGAAAACATTTTACGTGGAGCATTTTGTGGGAAAGTAGTGAAACAAAGGTTAGGTTAATAAATGTTACCTTCGTAATAGTGGCAGAACGGTGATGGATTAAAGAGAGAGTGATGAATTGGAGTGTTTAGCACTTGAACATCACACTTCGTACACAATAATTATTTAATTATTAGCAGTGAGTCCTCATTTTTTAGTTTTCTGCTGAGCAGTAAAGTGCAGGGAGAAGATGGTGATTGTCTGTTTTATTATTATTTTTTTGAATTTTTATTAGTGAAACACCATGAGGTACAATTACAAATTTTTGTGCTTGGGTTTCAGTTATACAATGATCGAGTACCCATCCCTCCACCAGTGCCCATTTCCCACCTCTAATGCTCCCAGCATTCCTCCTAACCCCCCCCCCCCCCATCCCACCCGGCCTCTGTGGCAGGGCAGTCCCTTTTGTTCTCTCTCTCTCTCTTTTTGGGTGCTGTGGTTTGCAAAAGAGGAATTGAGTGGCAGTCGTGTTTGGTCTATAGTCTACTTTCAGCATGCAAGTGCTCGTCTGTTTTGTTCACTTATTACTTCCCATGCCTGGCTTACTCAGTTAGTATTGATTGACAGATGTTGGCAGCTGATTGACTGTACTGGACAGAGGAAAGCGATCAAAGATGATGAATTATCATGCTGAGTGAAATGAGTCAGAAGGAAAGGAACAGATAGAGAATGACTGTATTCATACATGGTATATAAAAAATACATATAGTAGAAGAAGAATATCCATGGCCAGGGAAGATAGGGGTTAGGAGGACTGGTCAGTGGTTGGAACTGACTACAGTGTGTTGGGGGCTGAGAGTAGGTAAGATAGAGAAGAGACCAGTATGACAATAATCGCTGGGAATGGTCACTCTGGAGAAGATCTGAGGGTTAAAAGTAGGTAAGGGATATTCTTGATAATACTTTCAGTATCAGTATTGCAAACCACAATACCCGAAAGTGGGGAGGGGGGGAGGGGGAGGCAGAGAGAGAGGGAGAAGGAGAGAGGTTACATGGGGGGTGGGGATGGGGGATGATGGGAGGGATCCTGAGGACACTGGTGCTGGGAAAATGTACACTGGTGAAGGGATGGAATACTATATGACTGAAATCCAATCAGGAACAGTTTTGTATTGGTCTCTCTCACAATGATTCAGTTAAAAAGTTAAAAAAAAAAAGATGATGAACTGTTGAGACATAGTGATAGATCAAACAGTTTTTAGCAGTGGTTTGATAGGAGATACACTTTGGAATTATATTTCCCAATATACTTCCCAATTAAGACTCGAGAGAAGAAAGGCGGTCAGGCCTGAGGATTTTACTGTTGGGATATAGTGAAATGAAGACCTGCAGAAATTGCAGATCAGAGTGATGTAAAAATGAGGGTGTTTCCAGAGCAAGAGTGTTTTGTCAGAAGTGTCCAGTGCTGTAGCGGTTGGAAGCAGTGGGATGTTCTGAGGCGATATGTATCTGAATTGTTGATGCAGGAATTCTATTCTATGCGATTAAGGATTTAGTAGGAAATGTAAGGAAATAATGACAAGACCCTCTCCTCTTGAGGCAAATTCCTCATCTTGTCTGTAGTAGTTAAGGAGTGACTAATTTATACACTATGCCTTTGTTCTCTCAAAAGATGTTTTCACTTAAATTACAGACTAAGGGGAAAATGAGCTATCCGTCAGATTTTTCTGCGTTAAATTATTTTTGGAGGATGGGAGCAATGGTAGAGATCGGACTATGTACAGTGTCTCGTCTACCACTGGGCCATGTCACTGGACCTTACTGTCTTTAATCGAAAGTTTGAGGTTAAAATGCAAAATTCATCAAATAAACATTTCTAATTTGATTAATTTTATAATATATAATTGCAAATTATTTTTATAAGTAACTTAAATGTTTTGGGCTTGCTTTTGGGACACATCTGGCAATACCCAGGGGGTACTTCTGGCTCTACACTCAAGGATCATTCCTGATGGTCTTTGGTCGACCATATGTGGATTAACCCTGGTGGGTTGTCTGCGTGCAAGGCATATGTCTTACTCGCTGTACTATTTCTCCAGCCCCAGGTTTCCCTTTTCATCTGTGTGCTTGTTATCAAAAGCTCTGTAGTGCTTAATTGAATTGAATTTGGAAAACTGAGTTTAGATGAAATTTTTTTCAACAGTTTTTTATTTACCTTTATTAATACTTATTTTGCAGGGCCTACTAATGTGGAAGATGTGAATGCACTATTAATCAAAGATGCTGGTATGTTAAACTAAAGTAATTTAGAAACATTTTTTTTGTACATAATGTAACTTTCTTTGTAGCAGACACACTTTACTCAGAGTTGGGATGTAAGGGTACCTAAAATACATGAAGTTCCTGGTGTGAGAGGTAACAAAATAAGCAATTATTACAAGATATAGTAAGAATAATCAATACTGAAATATGGGGTAATGTGTAAAACAAAGTGTTGGTGCAGTTAGGAAAAGAAGTGTTATGTTCAAATAGATGTATCAGTGCAAGATGGGAAGGGTGGCTAATGAACAGGGTTTTAGGAACAAGAAACATTCAGAAAGTTGAAAGGAAGGGACCAGTATAGGGAAACTTTGAACTCTGAGCATTTTGGTTTAACTGTGATGCAGTGGTTGAGAACAACCACTTAAGAGTAGATGAGAAGTAAGCTGAGATCAGCTCTTAAAATACTTCTTCCACTTGAAAGCAGATAATGTTTTATAACTAATAATTCTGCTTGTCTCTATTTAAGGGGATTGTTTTCTCCTTAAAAGGAATAAGGAATATCTAGGAAAAACAGAATAAATGAAATAATGTTTCTAAAATGTCTTTTTTCTGTAATATATTTTAGATAATCCTTTTAAAAAATGCTACAAAATAAATGTTAAGACTTAATTTTCTTACACAAGGACCCTTAGCTTTTTAATTTCATATGTGCAAAATTTAATTTTTTTCCCTTAAATCTTCTTCTTAGTATATAATGCCGTTGGATTAGCTGCTTATGAGCTGTTTGACAGTGTTGATTTTGATCAGTGGTTTAAAAACCAACTTCTTCCGGAATTACAGGTTGTTCACAACAGGCAAGTATATAATTTTGTGATTATGCTACACTTATTTTGGCTCATTGTTTTTCTAGTGAAGAAGGGATTAAAATTGTTTATCGTATAAAAAATTTCTGTTTGACCTAGCTGATAATGGTTCCTGTAGAAAGGAGAAAGGCTTATAAATCTTACTGAAAAGTAAACAACATATTAGGTTATTTCAATTGTGGATTGAGACATGTCCAGAATATTTGATATTAGACAAGAATAGCACTGTAGCACTGTACTCCTGTTGTTCATCAGTTTTCTTGAGTGGGCCCAGTAATGTCTCCATCGTGAGACTTTGTTGTTACTGTGTTTGGCATATCGAATACATCACGGGGAGCTTGCCAGGCTTTGCCAAGCGGGTGAGATACTCTCGGTAGCTTGCCGGGCTCTCCGAGAGGGGCGAAGGAATCGAACTTAGGTCGGCCATGCTGGCTGCATGCAAGGCAAATGCCCTACCCGCTGTGCTATCGCTCCAGCCCATTAGACAAGAATTTTGCAGAAAAAAATTTATGCAAAGGCAATGGAAAATGGAGGGCACTGAAGTCCTGAAAGAACATATGTATAAAGGAAGCCAGTTGGAAACTTATCCGAGGACTGTGGAAGAAAGTGATCCCTGTGTATTGCAAGTTAAACAAGCACCCAGCCCATTATACTATCTCTCTGGGCCTTTCCGAAGCATTTTTATTAAAAATCATAACTTTATTTGTATAGAAGTAGCTTTTAAAGGCAGCTCAGAGAGAGAACGGAGCACCAAGTAAAGGGTGTTGAGAGGATCCTCCCAGGATGGGAGATGCATGCTGAAAGTAGACTCTAGACCAAACATGATTGCCACTCAGTGCCTCTTTTGCACCCAAAAGGAGAGAGAGCAAAAGGGAATGCTCTGCCACAGAGGTGGGTGGGGCGGGCGGGGGGGGGGGGTGGGGTGGGAGGGATACTGGGATCATTGTTGGTGGAGAATGGGCACTGGTGGAGGGATGGATATTCAGATCATTGTATAACTGAAACCCAAGCACAAAAACGTGTAAGTCTACAACTGTACCTCATGGTGTTTCACTAATAAAAATTAAAAACAAAAAGAAGTAGCTTTTAAAGTTTTATTTTGAAAGTTCACATTGCATTTCTGTGATGTAAAAGAAGAAACGTAAAATGAAACAAACTTCACAAAATACTTAACATTTTAATTTTTTTATTTTACCCTACTTAGATATAAGCCACTACGACGTAGGGTGATATGGCTGATTGGTCAGTGGGTTTCTGTGAAATTCAAGTCTGATTTAAGACCCATGTTATATGAGGCAATTTGCAGCTTACTTCAAGATCAAGACTTAGTGGTACGTTGCTTAAGTGTTTCGAAATAGTCATCTTTTAAATTTTAATCTATGTTAAAAAACTTAGAAATGTTTTTATATTTTTTGAAATACTGTTAGCATTTTTTTGAGGGAAAAATCTTTATTACTTGCTCTTGTCATTAATAGTGAAGTTATTGAAAAAATGAATCCTGTCCTATTCTAAAATCATTTATTCTTTTTTAGAATAGACACCTTTTTAATCCTCTTTCAGCTTACGTGTCTGCTTCATGATAGATATTTGTCATTTTTATATATGTGATAGCGTAGTAGTCTGATTCATCCTCACTGTTGATTCTTTTTCTCTTCTCCTTGAGGGAAGAAATTCTTTTTTGTTTGTTTTCTGAGCCACGGTTGAGAGTGCTCAGGGCTTAATATTAGCTCTGTGTTAAGGGATCACTCCTGGACGGGCTCTCAGAATTATATGTGCATCTGAGACCAAACCTTGGTTGGCACATGCTAGGCGGGTACCTTACCTGCCGTACTTTTTGTTTCAAGCCTTTGGAGTTGGTTCATTGAGACGACTTCTTTATAGTGATTTATGCAATAGTCTTGATTTTATGTTACTGAAAACTTAGCAGTTCTTTGTTGTTACTCTTTCAAAACGGTATGTTTGCTACTGTATTTTATGGGGCAATTACTTAAATAGGGTTTTAAAAAAATTTCAAAATATGTAGGAAAAATTGTGTTTTCCTCTGTGATTTTATTATATGCCGAGTTACTATATTTGTGACTTACATGTATTTTCTCTTTGGTTTTGTTTTTATTGTACCATTGTCTGAAAAGTGAGATTTAGTTATAGTTTTCTAAGTTCTGTTAGGTGAGCCTCCCAACCTTCTTTACATCAGTTTTCCTAGAATCTTTTTAAATCATTTTCAATGTACTCTCCCCTCTTAAAAAATTTGAAATCACCTAATTACTCTTTTTTTTAAGCAAAAGCTTATACCAATATGATCTCAGTTTTACTTGTGTGTCACAATAATATAAATTAACTTTTATAATATTATAAGCGTTGGGGAAAAATAGAAAGGTAAATCTATTATAGAAGCATTGTACATTTCAAAGACGAATAGAACTGTTTTATGTGTGTGCCTTTTTTTTTTCTATAGTGCACTGTCAGGAATGAGCACCGCTAAGTATGGCCTAAGTGCCCTCCTTCTAAAAAAGTATATTTTAAGATCAAGAGAATATAAGCCATACTATATTGCTTTTGTTTCAGTTTGTGAGAACAATACTTCATTGAAAAATTGATTAAAAAATACATACATCCTTCTGTTCCTCTTAGGACATATTACTTAGTAGACGTGCCTATGGCAAGTTTCCATTTGTGAATGCTACTACAAAACTAAATTAGAATAAACAAATCTGTGTGAGAGGAAGTGTCTTTTCTTACTATTCCAGATGATTTCTTAATTAACAATTGACTGATACATTAGATTCCTTTAGGCTGTAAAGTTTTTGAGTGAATTATAATTGTATCTTTCAGTCTTCGAAATTACAAATAAGAGAATTTTTACTTGTATGTATGCAACTTCCAATAAAACAACCAGGAATCTTAAAAAAAAAAAAACCAAAAAGCTAGAGTGCACTTTTTAGCATTTTGAGAAGTTAATAAAATGTAAGCTGTAGTACATTGAAAGATTATTGTTTGGAGTGTGATGTGATGTAGTCGGTGTCTGTGAAGTAAAGAAATGGCCTTTTTCGCAGGCAGATTGGCTGCTGATACAGAAATAGTGAATTGTCTAAGTATAATGCCCAAAATGGAGCTAGGAAAGGAATATTAGTCATCTGACCAGGACTGCACTCTGGGAGGAGATACAATTGGAATCAGGGCAAGGAATTTTATGCAAAGTATAACATTTCTTGTGCTTTTTATGGGTCAGTTGTTCTTTCTTACAGTTTGAATTTGTTTTCCGAACACTTACCTAATTTGAGTTAGGGCTTTTGTTGTCTGTTTTTGTTTTGCTTCAGTTTCCATACCCAAGACCTGGTATTCAACTCATAAAAGGCAAATTCTCTACTGCTGAGAATATTTCTCTCATCCATATACCTATCTTTGTGACTGTGTTTTTGCATAATGAATTCTGGATTCAGTTATTTTAAGTAAATGTTATTGAGGAAGTGGAGTTAATATATATTGTGCTACCCCAATATTACAAAAAAAGTAAGCTAGTTAAGGGGCCAGAGCAATAATATTGCGTGTAGTTAGGGCTGGAGCAATAGCAGGGCTGGAGTGATAGCACAGCGGTAGGACGTTTGCCTTGCCTGCGCGGGCTGCCGAGCCAGGTTTGATTCCTTCGCTCCTCTCTGAGAGCCTGGCAAGCTACCGAGAGTATCTCACCTGCACGGCAAAGCCTGGCAAGCTACCCGTGAAGTATTCAATATGCCAAACAAAGTAACTAGAAGTCTCACAAGGGAGACATTACGGAGCCCTGGAGCAAATCCATGAACAACAGGAGGACAATGCTGCGGTGCTTCAGCAATTAGGCACTAACCTTGCACCCATCCAACTCGGGTTTGAGTCCCAGCATCCCACATGATCCCCCAAGTGATTCCTGAGTGCAGAGCCAGTAAGCCCTGAACACTGCTGGGTGTGCCCCCCCCCCAAAAAAAAAAACACATACACAAAGAAAGTAAACTAGTTACATTTCCATTAATCATTTTTGGGTTTAGTATCTGGTATTCATAGTCTATAAAAATGAGTTTCAGAGCTAAAATTATATAATAATGTATGTCAGTTCTATTCAGTTAAAAAAGAAAAGAGAAATAAATGAACTTTAGAATTTTTTCCTTAAATGTAAATGAAGAAACTAAAGGTGCTTTATCTATTTATTTATTTTTTATCATTTTATTAAATAGTTTTATCTATTTCAGAGAACCTACATCAAATTGTGAAGTTGACTAATCTTGACCAATTGCTTTATTGGTCAAAGTCAGGTTTCCTAAAAGTACCAAGTAGTATTAGTACCAGTGTTTAGGATGTGTTAAGGATACTTTTCATATTAACTTCCCTTTGTCTAGCATAGGATCAGTCTTAGATATCTTCATTGGAAGAATGAGGAGCTTTAGATAAATTAGAGTATAAGAGGTTCAGGGAGAGGGCTCAGTGGGCTGAAATGAGTGCTCTGCATGAGCGAGCCCCAGATTAACTCCTTGTACCACGTCATCCCGCACATTGAGGTCAGTGTGCCTCCCTGTCCCCTTGAAGAATCTAAGGAGGATCCTTCCTTTTTCTCTCCCTCCCTTCCTCCTCCCTCCCTTCCTTTCTCTTGTGCTCAATCCTTGGCACCCTAAATAATTTCCTGAGGCCCGCCAGCAGTGAGCACTGAACACAGTCAGCAGTAAACCTGGACCACAGCTGGGTGTGTGCCTCCCAAAAAAAAACCCTAAACTAAAAAAACCTCGCTTTTCTGGCCCCCAGAACCATAGCTCACTGATCTGCCGTGTGAATTGCTCTCACTGCTGTGGGGAAGGCTGTAGCAGTGGTCAGGCACTAGGTTAGTCTAGATCTCACACAGTCCTTTTTTTTTCTCTTTCTTAAAACTTTTTGGGTCACAGCTGGTGGTGCTCAGGGATCATTCCCGGCAAACTTGGGGTACCAAATGGGGTACCAGGGATCAAACCCAGGTGGGCCATATGTGTGCAAGGCAAATGCCCGCTCTACTGTCTCTAGCTCCCCACACAGTCAATTGGTTTGATTCTTTGAGAAAGAAAATAGAAGTGTGGCTAATTTTACCTTTGTAAGATTAAAATACTCTCTTCTTTTGAAATAGTGTTTTATGGTTTCTTCTGTTTTATTTCTCTGTTGCTCTCATGCATTTTTAGAATCCTTCCAATATTTCAGATATATGACAGTTACCTGTTGACTATGAAATTGATCTTGTTTTTTAAAGAGGTTTCTGAGACTGCAACTGAAGGCAGGGTAGAAATTTGTAGGTTGATCTGATTCTCTGGTCCTTAGTCTGAATGTACTCTATATATAAAGTTCTGTTTAGGACTGATGAGAAGTCAATACAGAGTTTAAGGCATTTACCTTACAAGTAACTGAGCTGGGTGTGATCCCTGGGACTCATATGGTTCCCCGAGCACAATTAGGAATAAACACTGAGGACTGCTGTCTGCAGCACAAACTTACCCGCTTGTCCCCAAAAAGTTATGTTTAGAGTCTTAATTCAGGATTATTTTTTCATATGTTTTCTTGTGTTTTGATATTAGGCAAAATTAGGAAAGAGAAGACTCCTTTTTTGTCTTGATATTCCTGATGTTACTAATTCTAGATTGTTAACTATAATATACTTTCTTTTAGGTTCGTATTGAAACAGCTACAACTCTGAAGTTAAATATCCTTTAAATTTTTTTAAATAATTGAAACAATTTTAATACTTAAAATTGTCTTGTGAAATTAATTTAAAATTGTTTAAAATGTCATTTTTGATTGATGTTTTATTTATATCTATATATATTTTAATCCTGATCTGATATAGTTTTAATATTCTTTAACTGTTCTTTACCTGTTGATGATTTCGAGTTTAGAACAGACCAGTTTCTACCGGTAAGATTTTTTAAACTCTTAGATTTCATAACATTTATGTTGATGTATTTTGATGACTAAAACTACTTTAAATTGAAATTATATAGATTACATGTGAAAATTGAATTTAAGAGCATGTAGTTTTGAAAAGGATTACTTTTATTGGTAATTTCATTTATAATAATTTACCCTGATTCTGCTTACTTTCACTTATCTACATTGAAGTTAATTACCAACATTTTTCTTTTCTCATAGTTTACTAAATTTATTTGTGTTTTTACCCTACTTACGTTCCCTTCCTCAGTTGTTTGTGTATTTATGTATATTCATTAGATTATAAGTTTTGAATAACAGAATGCCAAGTTTTTACACCCTTCACTTAACCACCAGCATCTTGCTTATGTTTTTAAATAATTGGTATTCAGTAACCACTTATTAAATATGTCAGCAAGATTGGGGCAGTGTGTGAAGAAGGTGATTCATATGAAATGTCTGTTCTCCCCCTCCCTCCCTCCCTCCCCCTTCTCTCTCCCTCCCGCTCTTCCTTCCTTCCTTCCTTCCTTCCTTCCTTCCTTCCTTCCTTCCTTCCTTCCTTCTCTTTTTTCTCCATCCCTCTCCCTTTTTCTCACTGTTCCTTCCTTCTTTACTACTTCTTTCTTCCTCTTTTCTTTTCCTCCTTTCCTCTTTTCCTCTCTTGGCTCTGCATTCATGAATCACTCCTTAGGGGGCTGGGGAAGTATATGGCATCTGGGTTTGACCCCAGGTTAGTCACATGCAAGGCAAATGCCTTAACCAGTATTCCCACTCTCAGACCGGAAATTTCTATTACATTTTTTCCTATCTTAAATTCAATCAAAGAGCCATAATTTACAAAATCTTAGGCTTACAATATTCCAGCTAATCCCACCACCGTTGTCAACTTCCCACCACTACAATTCTGGTGTTCCCTCCTGCCCCCTCCTGCCACTGAAATAGACCTAAGTAGGTCTAGTTCTTAGAGGCAGCATAGAAGAGGAAATTTAAAAAATAGAGATTTCTCTTTAAAAAGAATCACAGGGTGGTGTTGAAATTGTGTACACTTATAATCACAGTACTTCAATCAATTTTAAAAAGTTTTAAAAATTTTTAGATATTATTAGATGAAAGAAATGTGTTTTAGAAACTTGTATAAAAAAGCAAATATGTGAAAGATTAAATGTTTTATCTGAGTATCTAGCATTCTTTGATTTGTTAATTGCTGCTATAAATTTTGTAAGTTGCAGTTAAGAGCTTGACAAAATACTTTCTATTTCCAAATAAGAGATATTTTGTCATTGTTAAAATAACAAGTGTATATCTACAAAACTTTGCATGTTCATGCAGCATATGTTAAAGGGTCACATCAGACAGTTACACTCTGTGTGCTGTGATTGGTGTTCCTTTTGCTAATGAATAGATACTGCAAAGGAAAGCATTTTGTGATCAGCGATAAACATGTTGGGGAAGAGCAGTGAAAAGGCATCTTAATAGTTAAGTTACTAAGGTAAAATATAAAGACATGAAATTTGGAACATTTCCCTCAGAAAACAGTATTCTGTATGGAACAGTTAAATTTTATTTTATTTATTTATTTTTTTATTATTTATTTTTTAATAGTGAGGCACCATGAGGTACAGTTGTAGACTTACACATTTTTGTGCTTGGGTTTCGATTATACAATGATCAAACACCCATCCCTCCACCAGTGCGCATTTCCCACCACCTCGGATCCCAGCATCCCCTCCCCCCCAGCCCCCATCCCACCCTGCCTCTGTGGCAGGGCATTTCCCTCTCTCTCCTTTTGAGTGCCATGGTCTGCAAAAGAGGCATTGAGTGGCAATCATGCTTGGTCGACAGTCAACCCTCAGCATGCTCTCCCATCATGGGCGGATCCTCCCAACACCCTTTATTTGGTGCTCCCTTCTCTTTCTGAGCTCCCCCTTCCCCTAACATGTGTGGTTGTCCTCCGGGTCATTGAGTAAAATTCCTGGTACTAATCTCTGCCATACTTGGGTGTTAGTTTCCTATTTTGTTACTTTAGAACAGTTAAATTTTAAAGTGTACACATTTAAATAAGATTATCAGAGAAGAGAAAATACTTGTGAATGTTGAGAACTTACGCAATTTTGGGAGGTCATGATAAAAGTTTTGATTGTTACCCTTTGATTGTTTTGCTGTCCTGATGTAATTTCATTTCTATCAAATTTTATGTGAAGATGCTTATATTTCTTATTTCAGACTTTTTCTCTTTTATCCGCAGTATTTGGAAACCATGTTCACACTGCTTTTTCAGTTACTGCAGCAAGTTACGGAATGTGACACAAAGATGCATGTTTTGCATGTCCTTTCTTGCGTGATTGAAAGAGTTAATATGCAGGTAATTTTGTCGTAAAACAAAATGTTAGTGAGCTGAATAGAGTATGTAGCGTGTGTACTGTTTTTATATTTTTACCCTCAAAGTTAAAACATTCACTGACATGTTTTTCAATGAAATCACAGGTTGTGATTTCAGTAATGTATTAAAAACTGGTGTCTGTGCTGTAGCTTTCAAAAATCAACTTTTCAGTGTCCTGTCATTTTGGAAGGATAGCACAGTGAATCGGGCACTTGCTTTTCTCGAAGCTGACCCTGGTTTGGTCTCTGGCATCCCATATGGTTATCTGAGCTTTCCAGGAGTGATCCCTGAGTACAGAGCCAGAAGTAATCCTTAAGCACCACTGGGTTTGTCCCAAAACAAAACAGAAAAATCCCCCTAAGTGTTTGAACTTCTTGTTTCATAAATTTAATTTTTTATTGTTGGTGGTCTTTGGAGGTGGACCACACTTGGTTATACTCAGGGCTCTGTGCTCAGGTGTGGCCCTCAGTGGTTCTCGGGGTAGAAATATGTTGTTTTAGGGTTGGCCGCATGGTTGCATACAAGCCAAGTGCTTAACTCCCTGTATTGTCTTTCTGGTTGTTAATTTAAATGCTTTTTTGTTACTTAACACTCTAATATTTTAGAATACAAATAGCCAGGTTGGGAGGCTAGATTATCAGTAAATTGCAGTAAGTTAGAATTATTCAGTAGTACTGTTTGTTTTTAGAATTCATGAAGTGGTTCAGAAAAACATTTTCAGGGACAATAGAGTTATAGTACAGGAAGTAAGGTGCTTGCGTTGCATTTAGCTTATCCTTGCAGACCCCTGGCGTGCCAGGTAGGGTTCAAACCACTCCCTGCTCCCAATAAAAAGACACTTTTTGGTATTCTCTTTTTTCCTATGTTAAATATTGTTCACCTCCATAAATGTATATATACTTTAACTATCTTTCATATGTTAGATTTGATTTTTATCTCTTAGGCTGCATTGTGAACCATCTTAAATATTGCTTTCTGATGTACAATTGTTAAATCATTTGAATTTTGATTTCAAACACTATGCTCTCACATATTAGATTTTTTTTCTTTATAGTTGCCATGGTTATCAGACTCGGGCAACTTAACATTGAAGTGCTGCTCTGATCTCTATCATGTCCAGGTTCCCAGTGTTATATGTTCTTGTTGTACTGGGAGACATTCCTGGTGCCACCAAATGGTGCCAGAGATCAGACTCAGGTCTTCACACTTACAAGGCCTGCGCTTCAACACTTGAGCCTGACTCCCCAGTCATGTGCTATTGAATCTTTTTCCTTTTAGATGCCCTGATCCCTAACAACGAAGATTTGTTCTCATGTGTTCTCCAGTCCCTGTCCATTTTTTTTAACTGTATTAGAAAGGGTTAGAGGTTTCTGTTTTTGTTTTTGAACAGTGATTTTATGTGTAATTTTTAAAATGTTTTTGAAATTTTGACATGGCATATTTTTCCAGAGGCTAAAATTGGGATTTATATTATGATTTTTAAATGAATCTTAAATTTTTAAAATAATTTTTAAATGATTTTTAAATATAACTGGGTAGTTTGATTTTATTAGCTATCCTATCTATAATCCATTTTATGTATATACATGTATATATAGCACAGTGCTACAATGCAGTATACTGTGCACTGTCTTCCCGTTGTTCATCGATTTGCTCGAGCGTGCAACAGTAATGTCTCCATTGTGAGACTTGTTTCTGTTTTTGGCATATCGAATATGCCAAGGTAGCTTGCCAGGCTCTGCTGTACGAGGGATACTCTAGGTAGCTTGCTGGGCTCTCGGAGAGGGGCGGAGGAATCTAACTCGGGTTGGCCGTGTGCCCTACCCGCTGTGCTATCACTCCGCCCACATATGTGTGTGTGTGTGTGTATATATATATATATATATATTATATATTGTATATTATATATATATAACATTTGTGCTGCTCTTTTAAAAGTATTGTATTTATTCAATACCAAAAGATCTTGGAGCCGGAGCGATAGTACAGTGGGTAGGGCATTTGCCTTACATGTGACTGACCCAGGTTCGATCCCTGGCATCCCATGTGGTCCCCCAAGCACCACCAGGAGTAACTCCTTGGTGCAAAGTCAGGAGTAACCCCTGAGCATCACTGGGTGTGACCCCCGCCACTCCCGCAAAAAAAAAAATCTTTATTTTCTTACCCTGCCAGGGTGGTGGGGATTTGTTCAATGCAGTGGCCTGAGGTTGCAATGCCGTGAGGGCCCTGCAATTCTGGGGATGGCCTGGGATTTCCCATGCCACTCTGGAGGTGCTTGGGAGCCTCTGGGGTTGCATTTGGAAATGCTCAGTGATCTGAGGTGCTGGGAATGGAACCGGGATCTGTGTTATGCAAGGCATGTACCTTAGTCCAGGCCTCATTGCTGCACCATTATAGGCTTTATTTTTAAACTCCTGTAGCTTGATCTGTCATGCAGTTAGCAGTTCATCTTTGAAAGGAGAATGTTCTTTTCCTGTGTTATCATTGCCCCGCAATTTGCGATCGCACTTTCTGTTTTCATTGTTTGGGTCTGAGTGCCTACCTTTACATCTTTCCCAGTTCAAGGTGTGATACTTGGAAGTTGCCAGTATACTGTTGTTAAATGAATAAACAGTGACTTTTTATGAAACAGTTTAATTGCCCACTAGGTGAGCTTAGGTTCATTTAAAAAAGAACTAGGATATAATGACATTTTCTAGTAAACTAAAGAAACAACTCATTTCAGTTGCTTATTGCATACTTCTAAAGTTTCTTTCATGCTGTAAATGTGGCAGTAGTTTAAATAACTTTAAAATATTTACCATGGAGATCTGTGTTCTAAATTAAATATCTGATTTTTCCTTAAAATGATATGTGTCAGGTAAAATGACATTATCTAGTGAATAATAGATAGTTGCTGACTGAGACTTGATAGTATTCTGTCAGCATTTCTTAAAGTAGATTGCCTTCCTTATTAATAGAATTTTTTTGCCTCCTCTTCTTCTGTTATGATAGATACGACCATATGTGGGATGCTTGGTACAATATTTGCCTCTTCTTTGGAAGCAGAGTGAAGAGCATAATATGTTGAGATGTGCTATTTTGACAACGCTTATACATCTTGTTCAGGTAATTTTCTCTCCAGTTTTCATGTGGTTAGAGACTGTTTCTTTCAATCGATGTCGTGCTGTCTTTCGATGGCACCCTCATTTAATCATGCAGTGTGTTGCACAGTGCTTATACTTTCCTTGGTAGTCAGGCCTTCCTACATTAATCCACTTTCTACTTCTACTTTTTAAAAACTACTTGGTTTGATGCCCTAGATTTGATTACTGGCACTACAAATATACACGTATACATGTGTGTATAGACACACACATGTGTATATATATATTTTTTCCATTTCAGTTCCATTTTATTTATTTATTTTTCTTTTTTTATTAGTGAAACACCATGAGGTACAGTTATAGGCTTACAAATTTTGTGCTTGGGTTTCAGTTACACAATGATCAAGTGCCCATCCCTCCACCAGTGCCCGTCATCCACCACCACGGGTCCCAGCATCCCCCTCACCCCCCATCCCCCCCGTCCCATCCTGCCTATGTGGCAGGGCATTCCCCCTTGTTCTCTCTCTCTTCTTTTGGGTCCTGTGTTTTGCAAGAGAGGCATTGAGTGGCAACCATGTGTATATATTTTAGACTTGTTAATTTGTTCACTCATTGTTGTTGCTGGGGCCATACCTCCCAGTGCTAGGGTGCCACCAGGCTTCGCATCGCCACTGCCCACCTAGCGTTCATGAGGCTTAAGTAGTGCTTTGCCCATCCAGGGCTTACATGCGAGGCATCTGCTTTGTCACTTTCATCAGCATTTAGGCACCTACATTTCTGTAAGTCAGAATTGCATGTGTCGCATCTATATTCTGTCATCAGGGCTTGCTGTGCTGAAATCCCCCTGGAGGCTCAGTGGAAGAGAGTTTGGACGCTCATTCAGCTAGTCGGCAGAATTTAGCTCTTAGGTCTGTAGGACCGAGGTCTCAGTTTGCTTGCTGGCTGTCAGCGGAGGGTCCTCTCATTCCCTTCCGAACATGACCGCTTCCCACTTAGACAAGCAGTGAAGTTCTTGCATGTCATATCCCAAGGCTTTGAATCTCTCACTTCCCCTTATGTAACCAGCTCCTGCTTTGTTGTGTGAATGATTTTGTCCTACTTAACTTGACCACTGCAGGCAAGAAAGCCTCCCTTCCTCCCTGCCTTCCTCCCTCCCGCCCTTTCTTCCTAAGAAAGTCATTTAGAGACTTGAGGGGAGAGAAAATGAGAAGTATATGTTTGAAAGAGAACACAGGATTCACCAGAGCGGCAATAAGCAAAGAAATGTAGAGGCAGGAAAGTGTGGTACCTGTTCAGGGAGAATAGGAGCTTGAAGAGCAAGCTGAAAGTGTATTTTCTGTACTGTCTGGCCTGTGTGGAGAATTTTCCTCTGTACGAGATTTGAGACCTTAATTAGGTCCAGAAAATTTCTTCACAGTCATATCTGGATTAGTAGTGTTTAATAACTGTGGAACACCATGTAATACCATGGATCAAGAGTCTCTGGTGGTCATTTTAGAATTCTGTGTCTGAAACTTTTATATATATATATACACATAATGTATAATTAATATATATAAATTTATATGTATATGATTGAATACATGTATAAATTAAATTCATATTCTTTTCTAAACATTCCTTCTATTCAGACACACCAGATAGTTTGTTACTTTCATTGTCTGGAAATCTGGATTAAAAAAATTTGAAAAAATTCTTATATACTATACAATCTAGACTGGTTTTATTCTGCTCTTACAGTTTTGCTAGAAAACCTTTCACTGTTTCCAGATTCTTTCTGTTTGTTGTCTGTTTCTGTAGTTTGGGTCTGCTTTCTAATGGAACACATGAATGCTAGCAGTATTTTTCAAAAGATATTTGGGGCACTGGCAAATAGTCTAGTGATTAGCAACATCGTTGGCCCTTGCGTTTAATCATTTGGCCTAGTTGGCCAAGAATCATGGAAAAGGGGTGGGGGCAGGGCAGAGAGCTAGTCCAGCAACTAAGGAACTTTCTTTGCTTGCATTCAACCCAAGTTTGCTCTCTGGCACTGCCCAGGAGTGATCCCCGAGCACAGAACCCTCAGCACAACTGGATATGGCCCCCAGGCAAGAACCACTGAGTTGCCCCTCGCCGCTCCACCCCCAGCACTGCCTTAAAGGAGATACCTTGAGGCCAATTTTTTAAGCTTTTGCATGTGAATTTGAAAACCATTTTTATAAGATTTTAAATAATTTCCTCAGAATTTCAGAGACAAATTGTTGTTATCTTTTATCTTAAGAATCCTCTTGAGAATCCTGACCTGTCTTAATGCTTGATGCTTTTTCTTTGTTTGGGGGCCACACCCAGAGGTGCTCAGGGCTTACTCCAGGCTCTCCAATCAGGGATCACTCGTGGTGGGGGCCCTGTGGAATGAATGTGTGCCAGGGATCCAGCTTGGCTCATCTGCATGCAAGGCAAGCACCCTACCTGCTATAATGTCTTTTCTGTTTTCAACGCCTGATTTTTAAAATGTGTCATCTCTTTCTCCTTTTTCTCCTTTGTATGATCTTCTCTGTACATCTGTTATATATATATATTCATACTATTATTCTTGACATTTTGGGGGCATTTCAAAGTGGAATCTCATGTATTTTGCTTCTAAGTAACTTTATATTATTTCTTTGCTTTCATGTTTTACTTTTGTCTCTTTCTAAACCTTCTATTATTTAAATATTAGAGGAATGGACAGTTCTCTCTGTTTCTTAGGAGTTTACTCTTTGTCCGTTTGTTCTGCTACTCTGGGAAATAAATGCTTCGCCTTATCTTCGAATGCTTCTTTTGATTTTAAGTGCTGTACTTTTAAAATTTTTTGGGTTTTTTTGGCCATATCAAGGTTTACTCCTGACTCTGTACTCAAGGATCATACCATGTGGGATTCTAGGTATTGAACCCAGTTGGCTTTGTGCAGAGAAAGCACCCGATCGGCTGTACCAATTCTCCAGCTCTGCAGTTTTTAATGGTTATGAGTTCTTGGTTTCTTGAATAATCATTTTATAGCAATTCATTTTTGTTTTAGAAATACAGTGCTTTTTTCAAGCACTGTCTGTAGCACTGTCCTCCCATTGTTCATCGATTTGCTTGAGCGAGTCCAGTAACCTCTCCATTGTGAGACTTGTTGTTACTGTTTTTCGCATATGGAATATGCCTTGGGGAGCTTGCCGGGCTCTGCTGTGTGGGGGGAGATACTCTTGATAGCTTGCCGGGTCTCTGAGAGGGACGGTGGAATAAACCTGGGTCGGCCATGTGTGAGGCAAATGCCTTACCCACTGTGCGATTGCTCCAGCCGGAGGCTGGAGCTTTTTTCAAAAAGATATTAATATATATTTCCAAGCTGTTATCTCTCTAGATGGTCTGTTTCTCAGTGTGTTGTTTTCTGTTTTTTTCATATTAGATATTTTAATCAGATCTGTTAGTTCTTGTTTGCTTCTTTTTCTTTTGAAACAGAATTAAAGCCTATACCATAGTAGAACAAAGAGTTACTTCAATAACCGTCAACATTTTGTTTATCATCTTAGGCACTGTTAATTTTAAAGCTGGTGAGAAGTATTGGCCATTATTGGAAAGCGTCCTAATTGTATTTTATTCTGTCTCTTAGGGACATCTAGCAGCGCTATTTCATGGGGGAAATCTCCTTGTTGGTATTTTAAGATTCCACCCCCAGCCCACCCTCCCAAGAGGAACCTCCTTTAGTCTCCTGCTAGCTAGTTCTACGCATTCTTATTTTATGAAGTGTCAGTGTTCTTCATGACCTGATTTTTCTCTGTGTGAGACCATTTTTTTTCTTATTGGAAGACATTCCAGTTTCATGTTAGTTCAGGATTAACTGCTTGTGCACATGGATAAAATTTTGTCACCAGCCTTTTTTTCCTTCCTGTTGCTAAGGATTAAATCCAGGTCCTCTCGCATTCTAGGTTTGTGCTCTGCAACTGAGCCACATTCCCAGCCCACCGACTGCCATTTAAATGTCTCTTTTCCAACCTTGCCTCCAAAATTCCTTGTATCTGAGTTCTTTGAGTCTCCAAAATAAAAAATCTAGTTGCTTCTTGCTCTTTTTTTTTTTAACTGCTTGCTTTGAATTTTAATCTTTTGTTTCTGCTAAGTCATTTTCCAGTTGTATTTTGAGCTTGTTCGATTCCTCCGCCCCTCTCGGAAATCCCGGCAAGCTACCGAGAGTATCTCGCCCACACGGCAAAGCCTGGCAAGCTACCATGACGTATTCAATATGCCAAACACAGTAACAACAAGTCTCACGATGGAGACGTTACTGGACCTGCTCGACCAAATCGATGAGCAACGGGAGGACGGTGACCGTGACATTTTGAGCTTGAAAAATGAATTTGCTTTGCTTTGTTTTGGGGCTACACCCAGCTGTGCTCATAATCTGACTCCCAGCTCTGTGTTTAGGGATCACTCCTGGTAGGCCTTGAGTGCCAGGGATCTGACCCAAGTTAGCCACATGCAGGGCAAGCACCCTACCTGCCTACTATCAGATTCCAGTTTCAGTTTTTCTTATGTTGTCTCTGTACTTTTGGTTTTAGGTCTTTAAAAACATTTTTTTGGTGGATTCAAGGAAGAGTAGTAAATGCAGTGTGTTACATCTGTCAGCTCTTTGGATGTTAGCATAGTGATTTGTGTGAGTTATTTGATATATCTGGGGCATAGAGTATAGAGCTTGTGTCTAGAGGCCTAGTCTGTAAGACAAAAAGAACATCCTTTGAAGTTCAGACTAAAAAATGTTACTTTTATTTAAAAGAGATGGTCAGAGCACCAGTGAGAACTCTGGTTTGGTGTGGGGTAAAACCAAGGTTGGTAGAAAGAGAAAATGAGAACCCTGAGTCTAAAGCCATGGAAGGAAGGGAAAAAATTTAAAACTGCTACAGAGAGAATTAAATATTATTTAAACTTGGGAGGAGGGTATGATTAAAAAAAAAAAGGAAACCAGGGAGTTGCTGTGATATAATTTATTGCTAGATAATCTTCAAGTCATATGAATTTAGGAAATGCTGGAAAATAAAATTTTAGGGGGAGCACAGTGAGTTAAATGAGTTTGAGATGCCTTCTGTTTGATATGTTCTAGAATTCTTAGAAGTGTCTGTAGTTCAGGGGTTAGCATTGGAGATAATAAATTTGAACATATTTAACATGGGCATGTAATGTGAATAAAAAGAGAGCCACAGCCCGGATCCCAAGAAAAGCGTATTTCAGAGAATGCAGTCATTTCTTCTCCCACATATACAGTTAGTTGTTTGGTATCGTACAAGAAGATCACTTGTACTATACCAGATTTCACCAGATTTCCCCATATGCCTTGAATGTATTAATAAATTTAGTATTACAGTATGACCCCTGTGATGTAAACATTTCCTAACAGTTTTTATAGTAATGTGAACTTTGCGATTTCTATTGTATAGCAATACTATACAATTGAACTGAAAGAATGTTCAAATTTACTAAATGTTGTATGTCTTGAATTGGATACATTCTTTACAGGGCTAAATTGCAGAATGAATCATACAAGACTTTGAACAAAAGTCTAATATTAAACTAATTCTTTATTGCTAAGTCTAGTATATTGTGTAGTGGGATGTGTACTAAGCAAGTAGATTTTAATTTTCTTTATGGTTTTTAGGCCACAAACCCGATTGTGCTGGGGATGGCGGGGATCATATGGTGCCAGAGATCAGTCTGGGAGTCCCCTTGCACTGTGTGTGGACCAGTCTTTTTTGAGCCATCTCTTTCTCTCGCTCTTTTTTAAAATTTATTTATTTATTTTGATTTTTTTGTTTTTGGGTCACACTCAGCAATGTACAGGGGTTACTCCTGGCTTATGCACTCAGTAATTACTCCTGGCAATGCTCGGGGACCATATGGGATATTGGGAATCGAACCCGGGCCGGCCACGTGCAAGGCAAACGCCCTACCCGCTGTGCTATCGCTCCAGCCCCAAGCCATCTCATTTTTAAGGAAATTTTAGTCTACTTAGTAATCAGTAGGACTTTGCTTATTTTTCCTAATGCTCTTCCTTTTTGTTTCTTTCAATATGAGCTGTAAAGAGTAATATTTAACTGAATTTAAAGGTCTAATATGCATTAAGTGTGATAGTCTTACAGTTTTCTTCCTTTGGAAAAATCTTTAATAAGATCGTTCAGTTGAATTTTAGTTATAGTTATAGAGAGGATCATGTTAATGGATAATCTTTATGGATTTCCACTGAAGTATCTATGGCCCACTGATAGAACTATGTGTAGTCAAAGGACTCTGTGTGTGTCTGTGTGTCCGTGTGTATGCGTGTATATGCATGCATGCATGCGCGCACTTGGGCTTATTCCTGACTGCACTCAAGGATCACTCTGTGGGTCTTGGGGGACATATAGCATTGTGGGCCAAAACTGGGTTGACCATGTGCAAAACAAGCTCCCTACTGCTGTACTGTTTCTCCAGTCTCATATACATGTGTGTTTTCTGACATTATAATTTCCCACTAACTTTATTGACATTTTGAATTATTTCCTAACTGATTAGACATTTGATAATTTATTAGTTTCCTTTTTGTGTGTCAATTCTAGAGATTACTATGAAAATGAACATTTTCTTCTTTTTTTTCTTTCTATTTATATTTAAGTGATACACTGAGACAACTTCCATAAGATAGTAATTATGCAAACTAGAACTTTAGATAAAATCCCTCTTCCTTTATCTTTGTCTTCTTTACTCATTTAAAAACGTAGCAAAACTTTATTTAAAAACATCACGCATTTTAAAAATGATTACAGATAGGTTAAAAAAAAACTGCTTTTATTCCATTGACATCGTCCTTTTCTTCTCATATTTAAAGTGGTTTAAATACTTTTCTCTGTTACCTTCTAAGAAATCCTTCTATGCATATACCTGTATATGCAAGTAAGTAGATACTGACATTTCTGTAGCACGGGAAGTTTTTTTACACTGCTAAATCTAATGCATAATTAATTTTGAGAATGTCTTTATTCCATGGCTGATTTTTAAATGGATACTCAGTATTGTAGAATATGGGTATACTATGATTTATTTTATTGGTGAACACTTAGGTGGGCTCATTTAAAACTAATGGGTAAGATAATTTGAAATACTCATGGTTAGAAGGATAGTGTAGGGGCATACCTGCATGTTTGCAGCCCCATTTTGATCCCTTGAACACAGGCATCCCTGGAGGCCCCTGAGCACCACATGCTCCACTCCTTGCATTACTAAGACTTTCTGGGATCTTGGTCTCCTGAATACTCATAGGAGAAGTCCCCTCAGCTGTCCCCAAAACAAGTGAAAATATCATTACTCCTCAGTAGTCCAAGAGAGGCAAATAACTATTTGTGTTGAAGCATTTCCTGAAACGAACAGAGGGATGTGTAGCCTCGGCCTGTCTAGTTTGCCACTGTTAAGCAGTTGCACGATACTTTTTTGCTACCTGTTCTCCAGTTATAAACAGACATTCATCATGCGTAATGATTAGGTCATCCTTAAAAGAAATCTGATTTATTTTTCGTAAGTTGCTTTAGGACTTTTTACATGATAGGTGACTTTCTGGTGAGGGGTGGGACCTTAGAGTGTCTTATGTTAAGTTTTATTTATACTTCCCATAGGGATTAGGAGCAGACAGCAAGAACCTGTATCCTTTCCTGCTCCCAGTTATTCAACTGAGTACAGATGTTTCCCAGCCTCCACATGTTTATCTTCTGGAAGATGGTTTAGAATTATGGTAAGAGGAACAATTTAATACCATGGATCTTATCCTCCCGCCTCCCTGGCCTTCCCCTTCTTACATTCCAATAAATCAGAGGACATGCAACAAGGGCTTGAAATTTCACCGTTTATGAAAAGGAGCATAAAATCTGCTTCCCTGAACTGAGTAATATCTTTTCTGGATAGCTCTAACTCAGTGTAGACTTACGAGCAGTCAGTGTTAAAAGGAAAATATAAACTTTAAATTAGCAGCATTTTATCCTCAGGAATTTGAAATATTCAGTGGGAATCTTTATAACTTTTCAAAACTAAAAATTGACTTAAAGTTTTCAGTATTTAAATTAGATGTTTTGAAGGACATTGCATTTTTAACTTCTTACCACATACTAAATACTGAGATTAAAATACCCCAGCACCTGCCCTGTCACAGATGCGAGGCAGGGTGGGGGGATGAGGTGGGGGTGGGGGGAGGCACACTGGGATCATTGGTGGTGGGGGATGGGCACTGGTGGAGGGATGGGTACTCCATCATTGTATGACTGGAACGTAGCCATGAAAGTTTGTAAGTCTGTAACTACACCTCGTGGGGATCCATTACAAAAAAATAAATTAAAAAAAAAAGACAAAAAAAAAAAAGACTCAGAGGAGATAAGCCCAAATTGAAAAAGTTGTTCTGGAACTCTGGCTGATTTCTAAAATGCTTTCCAGATTTGAAATTAATTCAAATAGATCAGTTTTTAAGTTTAGCAAGGGTCATAAAAAAAAAGTATTTGCAATAAATGGCAATGAAGTAAGAGCTATAATATTAAAAAAAAAAACCTCAGCACCAAATGCTTGATTTAATATTTTTAATATTTTACTCAGTAATACGTAGTATTACACTGCGTATTAGGAGTCCTGCACTGCACTGTCCTCCCTTGTTTGTCGATTTGCTCGAGCGAGCACCAGTAACATCTCATAACAAATTGTGACACTTGTTGTTACTGTTTTTTTGGCATATTGAATACATCGCAGGTAGCTTGCCAGGCTTTGTCATGTGAGTGAGATACTCTTGGTAGCTTGCTGGGCTGCTCGAGAGGGTTGGAGGAATTGAACCCTGGTCAGCTGCGTGCAAGGCAACAACTTACCCTCTGTGCTATCGCTCCAGTGTTAAGCGATACATCGTGTTAAGAAGGAAAAAAAGAAATGAGTGTTTTATGGCAGCTGAATACACATGAACATTAGAATATCCCTTTGCTCCATTGAGCTTATCATATATTAGTAGCAGTTTTTTATAGTGCTTACTAAAACTTTTTATTTAAGATGTAGTTTATGATGTAGGAAAGGCTTGAAAGCCCAGTGTATAAATGGTCAGAATTCAAATAACAGTGTGTAGGAATCAGTCAGAGAAAGTAATGTACGTCTCCTCTTTCACTCTTCCCTTTCGCATCTTTTTCCCCTCCTCTCCATCATTCTTCACTTCTTTCTCCTTCCCTTTTCTTGGTTCCAGGCTCCTCTTCCTCCCTTTTTTCCTTTCTTTTTTTCCTCCCTCTCCTTTTTGTTTAGGTATCTGGGAATAATATGTTTTTTGATTCTTAGAAATTGTCTTTGGTGCAAAATACACCTATAGGCCCTCATTCCTGGCTCTGTGCTCAAGGATCACTCAGGGAGGGGGTGGCAGGGATTGAACCCAGGTTGGCTGCATATATGGCAAACATACTAACCACTGTAGATTCTCTCCATCTCTGGATATTCTGTCTTTATCAGTAGTACATTGCAAACAGTTTCCCAGTATGTGAATGTTTTTGACCTCTTGAGTCATCTTTTAATATAGAGTAATTTTTAATTTTATTGTTCTTATATTGAACTTTCTTTAACCTGAAGCCATAAAAGTGTTCTCATGTTATCTTAGAATATTTTTCAGTCCTAGAATTTTATCTGTATTTAGCATGTGGTGGAGGGTCTGTGTCACACACCAAACTTCTCTCTTTAGTCATCTTGGTGTCGCATCTCTAGCCTGACATGAGGAGGTCTGTTTCTGATACTTTAAACTTTCGTGGTATGACAGTGGTTTTCTAGTTAGTTGTATTAAAAAACAAGTATCCTCACACTTTTTAAGGTTTTTAAATTTTCAACACTGTGGTTTACAGAGTTGTTTATTATACAGTAGTTTCAGGCATTCAGTGTTCCAACACTAATCCCACCAACAGTTTGACTTTCCCTCCACTACTGTATCCAGTTTTCTAACCTGTCTTCCAAGCCTTCCCCCATGGCAGGCATAAAGTAATTTATTTTATGTTGCTTGTTACAATGAAATGGCAAGTAGAATCATCAAGAAAATAGTCCGGTAAGTTTGTGAAAAATTGTTATTTTTCTTGCTTATTAATGGGCTATGAAAACCGTTTTCTGAGGATTTCCTGGGCTGTTTGTTGCGAGTTGAGCCTCCTGTGTTACTGTTTCTGCTTACTGAGCTATGTTGGCCTCTATGCTACTTTCCTGTGTAATTTGCTGTGCTCCTACTGGGTTGTCAGTATTGTGGAATTTGGGGGTGCCGAGCACAGCTGACTCCAGGAGCTTCAGGATCTGTATAACTGAGAGTTTCGTTGGCATAGTGTCTCTTCAGAGATCAGTTGTGAGGCAGTGAAGTTTGCTATGTGTCTGGCACCAGTCGTGGGGTGTGAACGTGGCTGCTGGAGCTTGGACAGGTGGGGATTCGGCCCATCGTGTTCTCGAAGGCACCCAAGTTTTTGTACCTGTGAAGTACACAAACACATCTCTTCTGAGATAAGTTGTGAAGCTGTGAAGTTGGGCTGCATAAATGTGGCAACAGCTGTAACCTTTTTGTTTTATTCTTGTTTTGTTTTGTTTTATTGAGAAATTTCTTATCTGTTCTTCTCATTTGCTATCCAAATCTTTCTAGAATGAGCTTCATTTGTTTACAAGGGAAAAACCTTTTATGAATTCGGAATTGTTTTTTGATTTTCTGTAACAATATAGTGAGAATTAATGTCTTCATGATGGTAGATATTTGTATGACTAATAGTATTCAGTTAGATATTGATGAATATTGGTGTATAGACATTAAATTGATCTTTTCAATAATTGGCCCTTGAGCAACATGGATTTTAGCTGCATCGTTCCATTGTATGTGAATTTTTGATAAATAGATGATGAAAACTTCAGTTATATATAAAGGTAAAGGCCCTCCCGTTGATCGTAGATTTGCTCGAGCGGGCCCAGTAACGTCTCCATTGGAGACTTTGTTGTTACTGTGTTTGGCATATCGAATACTCTCGGTAGCTTGCCGGGCTCTCCGAGAGGGGCGGAGGAATCGAACTCGGGTCGTCCATGTTGGCCGCTTGTAAAGCGAACACCCTACCGCTGTGCTATCACTCCAGCCCAGTTATATGTATTCTGTTATATATGACAATCCTGCAATATATATTCATAATAATCCTGCAATATATATATATTTTCTTGTCCTTCTCATTTTCTTAAGAGCATTTTCTTTTCACTCGCAGACTTAATTGTAAGAAGATAATATTGCAAACATACAAACCTGTGATGATGCACTAGTTACTGGTGATTCTTGCTGTAAACATTGTTAATAGTTGAGTTTTGAGGGAGTCAAGTTAGATGTTGATTTTTCTGATGCACTCAAGTATTCATTCTTCTAACCCCTCGTTGTTCAAGACTCAGCCTGACTTTGATATCTTCAGCAAGCTTGTGGAACTTTCTGAGTAATTTGTTTAACTTGGGAATTCTTTATCTCATTTTCCTTTTAGTCATACCTTTTGTGAATAAAGACTAACTTTTATTCTCCTTCTTTTCAGATTTCTGTTACCTTAGTTGTCTCATCATGTGAGAAACTCTGATTGATGAGTAGGTGTAAAGATAGACTGGGGTAATAGATGTTCTTTGATGTTTGTTTCTCCGGAGAAAGGTTTCAACATATTATTTGGGATGTTAATTATATCTTTATGTTATATTTCTCTTGATTTTTGGGCCACAGCTGGCAGAGCTCTATCACCCCTGGGAGTACTGGGGACCACATGTGCTGGGGATTCAAGGCAGTGCCTTACCCTTTTTACTAGCTCTCTGGCTCCAAGGAAGTTTAATTTTATGTACAATTAGATAAGAGTTTCGGTAATGACTATTACAGTTTGAGAAATTCCTGTTTTCCAGTAGCTATTTTGAATCTTGTTTCCACCTTTTACTTCTTAGGGATGTCGTCGGTTGTCTCGAGCAGGCCCCAGTAACGTCTCATTCATCCTAGACCTGAGATTATATTCAAGGCTCTTTAGGAGAATGAGACCCATCATTGTTACTGGTATTTGGCATATTGGGTACGCCACGGGGAGTTTGCCAGACTCTGCCCTGTGGGCAGGCTACATTCGATAGCCTGCAAGTTTGTCCAAAGTAGGAATGAGACAATAAGATGTCATAAAAAAAAGTTCTGATAAGATGTCGCGGCCGCGGCCGCGCGGTTCCGGGATGTATTGGGAGGTTTATCAGAGGAATACTTCTGTGATAAACTACACCCAATTTATATTTTATTTCTATCTTATAATTATCATTTATTTTTTCATTTGTTTGGGTTCTGAGCTGTGTGTGGTAGTTGTGGGATTACTCTTGGCTTTGTGATTGCAATGCTTGGGGAACTATATAGTACTGGGGATCAAATCTAGACCTCCAGTATGCAAAACACATGCTTAGTCATTGAGCTGTCTCTTTGACCCTGTTTTGGATTTCCAGTACCCTGAGATTGACTTGTAATTGGCATTTGTTTATATTTATTTTTTTTGTCTGTTTATAGTTTTAATGGGCATGGAAAGTGACTTAATCATCTGGTTTTTCTTTTTAGGTTAGTGACTTTGGAAAATAGCTCATGTATTACACCAGAACTGCTTCGTTTATTTCAGAATATGTCACCACTTCTTGGTATGTATAATGGCATAACATTTTTGAATGTAGCCATAGTTGATGGCAGTATTTGCTGACTAAATTTTGCCTCCTATTTTTGTTGAAGTCACTGATATTCAGCCCAAAACTTGAATAACATTTTAATCATTTGTAGATTTTTTTGTTTTTGTTTGGGGGTGGGGCATACATGACAATGCTCAGGGTCACTCCTGGCTGCGTTCAGGATCACTCCTAGGGTGCTCAGGAAACTATATGAAATGCCAGGAATCAAACCTGGGTCAACCCTGTACAAGTCAAGTGCCTTACCAGCTATAGTGTCTTACCCCTGTAGCTTTTTCTTTTTAGAATCTTAAACTTTTTAGAACCATTTCTGCTTTTAAAATATTTTTAACAATTAATACTAAAGTATTACCTACAAACATAAGTATTGTTTTGGGAAAATAAAGACAGAGCTTTCAATTTATCTGGTAGATTTTTTTGTTGCATATCAGGTCCAAAAGTTGTAGAACCAAACAAAAAGAGAAAAGATTGAAAAAAAAAGTATTTAAAGGACTATGTAAGACTACTGTATACCATGTATACCATGATTTTGTTCATATTTTTTTCCTCTTTTTGGGGGGGGGGGTGTGTGTGTGTGGTTTGGGGCCACACCTGGCAGTACTCAGGGTTAATCTTGGCTCTGCACTCAGGAATCACTCCTAGCAGTGCTCCAGCAACCATAAGAGATTCCGGGGCTCGAGCCTGGATCAGCCCCATGCAAGGCAAGCACCTGCTCTACTCTTTCTCTGGTCCCTGTTCAGTTTCTTTTGCAAGTGATGCTGTGTTGTCAGTTGTTCACAGGTGTGCTGTATATATATTTTTATTAGCTAAGGAACTAACAAATTGGGACTATTATGTACAAGGAAATCACTTATTATTTGTTGAAGCTTATATGTGTGTCTGAGCAGTGAGATCATGGAGCCTAATGTTTTTAGAGCAACACTTTGACTACCAGGGATTAAGCCCAGCCTCCCATATGCCAAGCCTGTGCTTCATCCCTTCACCATCTCGCTGACTCATAAGTATGTTTTAAGGAAATTTTTGTTAGGGTTTATGTAGGGAACACATTTTGTTAGGTAGCCCAGAGATAGATACTTAGCAGTGTAATTTTTTGAAGTATGATTGGAACATTTTTCCATAGGTAGCACACTTATCTAGTGCAGAATAGCAGTCATTCAGTAAATAGTCATAAAGGAAACCCAATTAAGATAGATGTTAAAATGGGATGGTAAAATGATTCAATTTTGGTTTTTCATGCTACATTGGAACTTTAGTTTGAAATGTAAGAATGAGTCGTTTTTTTCTGAACGGACAAAAAGAATTTGGTATTTTCTGAATTGTTTGAACTAGTGGGAGGTGTGTGGGTAAGTATTAAGTAGCAGGCAATGTCAGGTTTTAATTAGTTCATTTACTAATAGTATAAAGCAGTAGTTTTCAACTGCCACTTAATTAATATGTGCTGTCTTCAGGTATAAAAAGGTTGAAAGGCACTAGTCTAAATAGCTCTCAGGGAAAAAAATGGAAACAAAGGGGTATGTAATTTTGCTTTATTATTTTTTTTCTTTTTCTTTTTGGGTCACACCTGGCGATTCACAGGGGTTACTCCTGGCTCTGCACTCAGGAGTTAGTCCTGGCAGTGCTGGAGGACCATACAGGATGCTGGGAATCAAACCCAGGTCGGTCACGTGCAAAGCCAACACCCTACCTGCTGTGCTATTGCTCCAGCCCTGCAATTTTGCTTTAAATAAAGATAGGACATTTAAACTAATTTGAGGTATACCAAAATATCTAAAACGTTTATTTTGACAGAACTTGCTTCAGAAAATCTAAGAACTTGCTTAAAGATCATCAATGGTTATATCTTTTTATCATCAACAGAATTTTTACAGGTATGTTATTTTTTGCATGTCATAAAATGTGTGTTTATTTTGCTTGTTTCCAATTTCAGATCAAACCTCAGAATTCAGAAGGTCAGTCTTTTTAAGGGTGAAAATCTTGGGAAACATTGTTCATTGCAAGGCAGATATGGTATAGGTCTGTGAATCAATTTATATGATGTAGAAAATATGTTATAAACAAATCTATCTATATAAAATTTGCAGTTGATTTTTTTTCCTAAGAATTGTTTTCTTAATTCTCTTTCTCTCCTGTTTTTTGTGTTTTATTTTTGGGCCACACTCCTAATGCTCAGGGATCACTCCTGGCTCTTCACTCAGGAATTACTCCTGATGATGCTTGGGAAAACAAATGTGATGCCCGGGATAGAACACTCTTGGCCACATATAAGGCAACCAAGCACCTTACCCATTGTGCTATGAATCCCATTCTGATAGTTTCTATAGAAACTCTGACTAGATTCTTAGTATAATTTTCAAGTAGATTTTGAGTTCCAGATGTGATTTTTATCTTCTTTTGATATTGCTGATATACTAATACACATATTTTGACTCATTAAATTTCAGACATATGCACTAGGTCTGTGCCAATCCTTTTGTGAACTTCTAAAGGAAATCACTACAGAAGGTCAAGTTCAAGTTCTTAAGGTACTATTACCTTTTTTGGTAATAAAATATTTTATTTAGAGAAATATAAGGGGTCAAAGAAGAGGGGAGAGGGTGGAGAGAGAGAGGAGAAGAGAGGAAAAAAGGGAAGAAAGGAAGAGAGAATGTGTTCAAGGAGAATCTACTCCAGAGAGAAGCCAAGATATTTTTAATGTTAAATGAACGTTGAATTTTGTTAATTTTGTCTATATTTTGTGAAATTAGACCTTCATTTCTATTTGATTGGAATGATTGTTAAAATAGGGGTGATTTGTTGTTGACTAATTCTAGAGTAGATCTAAATTCTTTTAGTTCTTTTAGTAGATTTCAATTTAATACCTCTGAACCATTTGTCTCTGATTTAAGTCACCATTTAGATATACTATTAATAGTAAGAGTTATACATTCATATATAAGAATATCACTGTATCACTGTCCTCCTGTTGGTCATTGATTTGCTCAAGCGGGCCCAGTAACGTCTCCATTGTGAGACTTCTTGTTACTGTGTTTGGCAAATCGAATACGTCACGGGGAGCTTGCCAGGCTTTGCTTTGTGGGTGAGATACTCTTGGTAGCTTGTCAGGCTCTTCGAGAGGGGCGGAGGAATTGAACCCGGGTTGGTTGGGTCGGCCGCGTGCAAGGCAAATGCTCTACCACTGTGCTATCACTCCAGCCCTATATAAGAATATATGTATAAATATTTGTTAAGTTATATTTTTACATTTATATGTGTATTTATACATGTATGTATGGACTTTGGGAAAAGGTGTATCTCTTAAGTGCATCTTTTTTTCTTTTTTAAAAAATTTATTTTTATTGAAGCACTGTAAATTATAAAATTATAAAGATATTTATGATTGAGCTTCAGATGTACAGTGTTTTAGTACCAATCATTTTATGAGTGTCTGCTGTCTTCCACCACTCTCCCCAAGTTTCCCCCCACACCCAGCCTGCCTGGGAAGGGGGCAGGCATTTTTCTTCCTGTTTCCCCCTTCTCCCCCCCAGAAATTTCCCCTCCCCCCAACACACACACACACACACACACACACACACACACACACACACACACACATGCACGCGTGCGCTCCAGTGTCTAGCTTCCTGCTGAAGACTAGTTCTCCTGCTCTTCAGTTCTATTGTCTTTGGGCATTTTGATATTTCCCTATGAAGTTTCTTTATATCCCACATATGAGAGAGACCATTCTGAGTCTCTTCCTCTTCCTCACTTTCCTTAACATAATGCTCTCCAGATCCACCCATGTAACAGCAAATTGCATGACTTCATCTTTTCTTCCAGCCAAGTAATATTCCACTCTGTATATGTGCCATAACTTCTTCATCCAGTCATTTGTTTTTGGACACTTGAGTTGTTTCCATATTTTTGCTATTTTGAATAGTGTTGCAATGAACATAGGGGTGTTGATATCATTTCTGCAATATGCTTTTGAGCCCTTGGGGCATATTCCCAGGAGTGGAATTGTGGGTCATTATCTCATGGTGTGTGTGTGTGTGTGTGTGTGTGTGTGTGTGTGTGTGTGTGTGTGTAAAATCTTATCACGCCGAAGGTTGTATGTTCACGGGCTCACTGGACGGCACTGTCTCACCGCCTGCGTTCGGTGCTCTTGAGCCGCTGTGTGTGGCCTGGATCAGAACGGCTGTTGGCCAAGGGCAGACGGAAGAAGAAACGAGGGCCAGCCTGGTCTATATCAATAGTAGTTTATTCCATTCCTCTTCACTCCTGTCTTTCTCTGCCTCCTTCTCTCCTGGGCCCCAATCTTGGAACCTCTCTCCTTCTGGCTCTGACTCTGGATCTCTGGAGCCAGAGCTCTCTCGCTTCTGACTCCCTTTCCGAGCTTACATCTTAGTTTATATAGCAGTCACATAAGGCGGTAACATAAAGGTGGGTTGAATACTGACGAATCAACAAAGAGAGGTAAGACCACTCCTCCAGGAGATTAACTCAAGGATAAAATCTCATCTACAGAGATTACTTCAGATTACTAGGAGATCTGCTCAAGGGTGGGATCCCAACAAGGGTGTGTTCTTCCCTCAGTTATTAATCTACTTAAATAGTTGTGATATATCTACTTCTAATATTTCTAGCAATGTCATTCTGTATGAGCACAGTAAGAGATATAAATTTAGTTTGGTTCTTCCTGAGAACATCTCACTATACATTCCGCAGTCCTCAAGCCAGGTTAATCTTCCTAGCTCCAGCAGGGTCCTAGTCTCGTTGTTACTTACTTTTGGATCATGACAGCATTTGTCCATGATCATGCCCTCAACTTACAGTTGAGTATCGTGGCTCTTTGGCCTGGCCCATTTCGATGCCAGGGTAGCTCACAGCTTTCCCTGGGTCCATTCAGTCCCTCGTCGGGACCCTGCTTTTGTGGTGCTAGGAACTAAGGGCAACTGAGTCAAGAAATCAGTTGCCCAGGAGTAAATATTGTTCAGAGTCAATCAACTCCCAAGTTACAAAGCATAATATTAACTGTCTTCCTGTGTCCACACAGAAAGGACATTGCTTACAATACAAGTTCAGTGTCCTTAGATGGCTGTGACCTGACAAACCTAAGCTACCTAAGGAAGGACAAAAGAGTGTTATCCTACATGTGTGTGTGTGAGAGAGAGAGAGGGAGGGAGGGAGGGAGGGAGGAAGGGAAGGAGGGAGGGAGGGAAAAGAATGGTAAGGTCCCTGATTTGCATGCAGCTGGCTGCAATTCAGCCCCCGGCATCACATCTGGTCTTCCAGGAGTAATTTCTGAGACACAGCCTGAGGTAAGCCCTTAGCACAGCCAGTTGTGGCCCCAAGGCAAAAACATTTTTCCCCCTAACTTTTGGGTTACGTTTTCATATTGCTGTAAGAACTGATTAGGATATCTTTTTTTTTTTTTGCTTTTTGGGTCACACCTGGCAATGCACAGGGGTTTCTCCTGGCTCTGAACTCGGGAATTACTCCTGGCGGTGCTCAGGGGACCCTATGGGATGCTGGGAATCGAACTTGTGTCGGCCGCGTGCAAGGCAAATGCTCTACCCACTGTGCTATCTCTCCAGCCCCAAGGATATCTATTTTAATTACAACAGTGTAGTATGTGTTGCAAGAAAATTGTAACATTGTTTATATTCTAAATAAAATAAAAGTATTTTGTTCTCTGCCAGTAGAGTCAAAATGTTTGTTCACAGAATACCAAGTGGGTAAAGGGTGTGGGGAAGACATAGTATTTTTTATTTGCCAATTCTTGCAACCTTCAAAGGAATTAATATTAAATATGCTGAAACAAAATTAGTGAGTTCAACATATTGGGAGGGTAGTTTGGTAATGGTCGGGTTAATGGTCAAGTCAACATTTAGTGACTTGAGTTGGAGAAAATATTTGAACATTATACATCCACTGAAGGTCTAATATCTAAGGTGTATAAGGAGTTAACCAAAAAAAACAAGCAATCAAAATGAAATAAACCTACCCCAAAATATTCATTTGTACAGTAGAGATGAATTGCTTATTGCCTCCCAGCCCCATCCCCCAAATAAAACACTATACACACACACACACACAGTGGAATACTACTCAGCTTTATGAAAAATTTCCAAGGAAAACATGCAGTTGGCTAATAAGCATATGAAAAATGCTCACCATTAGTTCTTCAAGAACTGCAGATCACAATGAACAGTTTGCATTTTTTTAGAAATAAGGTCTCATTTATATAGAAATAAGATCCGAAACAACAATGTTGGCAGACATTTGGCGAATTAAAGGCGTCCTTAGTCATTGTTGGTGGGAATGAAAATTAGTCCAGCCTCTTTGGAAATGAATACAGAGGTTGATTCATGATATTGACAGTACCTTTAACATTGGACCCCGTAGGTCTACCTTAAGTTCTCTTTCTGAAGAATATTAAAACACTGATTCAGAAAGATAATGTGAGTTCACTGCATCACACTGTGTTTACAATATATACATATGGAAGCAATCCTAATACCCAGTGACAGATAAGTGGATTAAGAAGTGGTTTATAGGGGCTGGAGCGATAGCACACTGGGTAGGGCATTTGCCTTGCATGTGGCCGACCCGGGTTCGATTCTCAGCGTCCCATATGGTCCCCTGTGTATCTCCGGGTGTGACCCAAAAAGGAAAAAAAAAGAAGTGGCTTATAGCTTTGCATATAGCAGACACATTTGATTCCTAGCATTACATGATCCCCTGAGTACTGCCAGGTGTGGCCTAAGGTTCTTGCCTCCCAGCCCCATCCCCCAAATAAAACACTACACACACACACAGTGGAATACTACTCAGCTTTATGAAAAGATGATATCTTGTCTTTTGCTTTGACATGGATCGAGCTGGTGGATGTCATGTTAAACAGTAAGGAAGAGAAAGATGAACACTGTATGATCTCACTTGATTGAGGTATAACAAAATAAGAGAAAAAATAAATCGATCGGCGTGGTTCTACTTGAGCACCCAGCATGTTCATCTGAGTCCTTTTTAGAGTGATGCATGAACTCTCTGAGCCAGGAATAAATTCTGAGTGTTGCCTGGTGTTGCGCCCCTAAAATAGTTGCGGATGGGGGATAAGAGTGGTGGAAGGAATTGTGCTGCTTTGGTTATAGGTCTGATTTAACAATTTACTTTTAAAAAGAAATATGAAAAAAGTACCCCTGAAATTCAGTGATGTAAGCCCAAGTTTGCCGCGATAAAGGAAGAAAAACAAATTGTAAGTTTCTGAGTGTCATATGCCAAATGATTAAAATGTTGTAAAGTGATAAGAAGCAGAATGGTGTATGAAGTTATCATTAAGAACAGTATTCTTTTACCAAGGGTCACCTAATTTTACTAAATGCCCTAACCTTGACGATTTAACAGAAATTTGTTACTATCTGTAGTAATTACAGATTTTCTCAGGTGTTTAGAGACAAGAAATATGAAATCAAGATGCTAGGAGGGCCATGTTCTCTCTCTTGACTCCAGGGAAGAATGTATGCTATGTCATTCTCTTAGTTTC